CAGCCTCCCTTTGACTCTCCTACACACTTCAGTTTCATAGGGATTGGGATCTTTGAGGTGAAGACACCATACAGGTCATTAAAGCCCACTTCAAACACACAATAGGAATCTCTCTGCCATAATCTTTATGGGCATTTAGCTATCCTGTCAGCTGAGGTGCAGGGCTCCCTGGCCTACAGGACCTTGTATATTTTCTGGTGTAGATTTCAAAGATTCCCGCTATTGTTGAGGTGAAACCTTCCTGATTATTAGAGCTTGAACTCTGTGCTCTTATATTTACCTTAGAAGGTGCTCAAAACAAGCCCACTCCCTTTCCCATGGACAAGACTTGAGACTGTGTGGAGATTTTCATTAGATATGCTGCCCCCTGTGCACTCTAAAATAGTTCATCCAAGTCATTCTTCACAATGACTCCATGCTCTTTATATTTCTTGTGTCAACACAGTACTTAGGGTGTACCACAGTGACCCCACTGTTGCTGAAGGAGTTTGACCGGTGTAGGTATGGAGACTGTCACATCTACAGATTATACTTGAACTATCCCATCATGTGCCCTGGTAGTCTCAAGGCCCAATTTGGGGCTAGTCCTTTCTGAAGAAGACATTTTAAAGCCTTCTTACATTTCTCTTCCATGACCTGCTCTTTGGTTCTCTTCCCCAGCCTTGGATTCTTCTGCTAGGGTCATTCAGTTCTTAAGCCAGCTACTTTGTCTCAGTCTGACCTGTGACCATGAGGGCTTAATGAATCAAGGTGCAAAAAGAATGGGGTTTCCCTCCACTCAGCAAAGATGGCTCAATCTGATGAGTGCAGTAGCAAATCTGATCTTTAAAAATGTTGATTAGTTGAAACCATTACAAATGTGGGTCCTTTGAGAACTTTGATTACATTAGAGGTGAAGCTATAATGTATACTTCTGATATCTACAGAGTGCAGAGAAGATGATTTCATATACTAAATGTTAATGTTTTTAGAATGATGTATTACCTTTGTTTTTTTTAATTTTAAAAACACAAAAGAGAACAAAAACAATAATACAGAATTTCAAAACAAAATAATAGATTAACACTGGTTAATATATTGTGTATTGTTATCTTCAAAGTAGTTGTTTATATTACAAGATATGGGCATGAAAAATGATCAATCAAACAATGCAAGTAAAAACTGTTCTTTTTGATGAACTAACAAAGAAAGTAGTATAGTTACCTATCTTACATATAGAACTGTGTATGAACATATATAGTGACATATAATCTTCTCCCTTCTTTCTTTTCTCCTTTCCCATCCATCCCACTTGTTCTTTCCTTTTGAGCAGTTTCTTTCCCTTTCACTTGCATCATTTTAATAGTCCTGTAGAATGAAGGATGTGTAAATTGCCCATTAATTCTTCATCTCCAAGGCAGAATCAAGGATAGCATGAGCTAGCTTCACTCACAGTCACTGTAATGTACGTTTAGAAAATAAATTAGTGACATATGAAAATAAATGTGGCAGAAGTAGGAATTTAACCAGCTGAGCAGATAATGGTTTTCATTGAAGAACTCAAAGTGAAATGGTGTGATTTTCGCCAGCTCGAAAGTTCCACAATAGTGTCTACAGAAGACTATGGCTCTGTGCTAATTATCCTGATGGTGATGGTGGCCTGTCTTGTGAAGAAAGTGCTTCAGTTTTGTACTTGTTATTTGCCCTTGGGGACAGTGCCAGCCATACACAAGGTGGCCTCACAGGAAGGGAGTTCTTGACTCTTGTATAGCTTGTTGCTCAGTGCACTGGGTATGACCAGCATCCAGCAAGCCCACAAATAGAAGTGGCTCAGAAGGCACTAGGGGTAGCATTTGTGCTTCTGTTTAAGTAGCTGTCATACCATTCCACAAACGGTGACTGTCCCTGCTGTCAACTGCACCCATGCCCAAAGAAAGCAATTCTTTCAAAGTTTTTACCCCAGTGTGAGTTTTCATAGTGTCCTCTGGCGGCCACCATCCCTGTCATCCCCAGGACTTTGTGTGAGGGGACAAAAGGCTCGTGTACTTCTCCATATCCTTCCTCGTCTCATCTCCTGAGAATGGTCAGGTCATAGTCAATGTTGACTGACTGTTGATTGACTACCCGGGAACAGCCCAAGAGACTTAGCGTCAAACTTCTTGAGAGAAATAATTTCAAAGCTCATTTCATTAGGTCCCCATCAAGGTTGCTGTTCTTCTGTTGGAAATAGTCTTTATTTCACGTCTAAACCTACATCTGCTTTTGGTCAGTTTTTTCATGCGTTGTTTTTAGTCATATCCATACTCTCTTAATGACAATTGTGAAATTTGAGAAAGTTCTATTTTGGAAGACAAGATAAATTTGAGACAGATTCATTTGATAACAAACTTAAACCAATGTGAGGATATTTATTTAAAGTGTTTATTCCTCTCACTGTGTGAATGCTAATGTAGAGATACAAATGAGTTTTTAAGTGCTGCTTCCAAAGATCATACTGGGAGCACTGTGTATATACATGATTTATGTATATGTTATATTTACTATATTAATTTTATGATTTGAAGAAATCAAAATACCAAAATGCATCTGTCACCAGATGGCTTTTCGTTGAAGGATAGTTGTACACACACACACATCCTCCACACTCACACACCCCACATACAGATTTTCTGCTAAATCCATAAAGCTTTTAGTTTGATTTACCTGAGGATAAGGTTTGTTTTGGTAAATAAAACATATGGGCTTTATGTACATCACATCGATGCATTTGGTTTTGAGGGAGTAATTCCAAGGACTGTTTTATTTCTTACAGAAATTGCTGAAAAATAATCCAGTAACTGGGAACTCTAACCAAAATATACTTTAAAGAAAATCCAGGGTCTATTTTACTTTGGTATTATCAGCATGACCAGCTTCTTACAGGAAGCCAGAAATTAATGCATAGGTGTGGAAGAGTACTGGAAAATAGGCTTTCACTTGAAAATCATAAGTTTGGATCCAAATTAGATTTTATCCTTCAGTCCACCACCCACTATCCTCAGTACTGCAGAGCCTCCACGTTATAATTGAAACTTTTCTTGAGGGAAATTGAAGCCAAGTTAGCCTAATCTCTGGATTAGTCTCACTTAGATATGTTCTATCAATCTTTTGTAACTAAAGATAAAAAAAAAAATTGACTCAATTTAAAGGGAACTTTACATAAATCTGGAGTCATTACTGACATTAAAGAGAGATCTGCAAAAGGATGCAGGGAAATGAAGGGCCTGAGTCATAGGTCTCCTGCCCTCCCTCTATGGTTAGAGAAATAAACACACAGGTTCCCAGGAGACACGGTCCCTTATTTCTCATGCCTTCCTCTAAGCTCTTGGTGTATTTGGCAGAAGAATGTACTTGCAGAGAGCATTTACTCAGGAGATAGCATTTTAAAATGAGCTTTTGCTTTATGAAAGAAAATGCCTATGTGGAAGATTAAAGGACCATTCTTTAGGGATGGAGGGCACAAGGGCTGTGTGCTGAATAGTGACTGATGAGGAACCCATGCTGGCCTCTGAGGGATCTTATTCCCTCCCAAGCAGCAGCTGAGTACAGTTCCAACCCAGCTAGGTGAGAACCATAACACTGAAGAAGAGGCCCTGCTGAGTGAGCCCATGGGAGAGGGGCACGGGTTCCTTTGGGTTTAGACGAGGAATAAAGGTGCCTTTTTCTAGATCTTAGGCAGAGGGGTCAGTGGAGTCTGTCTTTCTCAGATTTTAAGTTGAGACCACAGAACCAGGTGAATTCTACAGCCAGGATTGTGCTCTCTGGGCTACCCTGCGGCCTCACATTTGGACACTGTGAGGTAGCAGAGCCTGGCAACCTGCTGCTGTGTGTGAGAAGCAGGGCCGGCAGAAATCTGGGTCAGACCTGGCCTAACAAGGAAGACATGGCGGTCCCCAGCACACCCGCTACCATGGGCTCTACTGAACTGAAGAGGTGGGCGGGGCCAAAGAGACAGAAAGGAGAACTCTCCCCCATGTTCAGAGGCCCACTTTCTGAGAGAAAGCAGAGCAGAACTCAGTCCAAAGAGACAATGAGCCTAAGGACAAAGGGTGCTGACATACCCCAGTATGCTATTAAGCAGCTGAGGTTGATTTGTTACAGGGCACAGAGAGCAAACGATTGGTAAAGAGGAGTATTGATTCTCAATAAAGGCAAAGTAGCAAATGGTGTCACTTTCCAAACGCTTTGCTTGGTCAGCTTTACAAATTTAAAATCAATCATTAGAGATGGTTGGTCCCTTAGGATCATACCTCCTGGTAAGAGTTCTACAAAGACTTTTAAAAAATTATGATGGAGAACACAGAGAAGTGCATCCTCTCATTTCCTGACTCCTCCATCCGAAAGAGAGCATTGGGGACCCCTTGTCAGCTTGAGGTTGAATGCTAGCCCTTCACAGTGAATGTGTTTCACAGGGCCACTGGGAAGGCACTGTGCTAAGTACTAACCTTGGTTCTCTAACTAGCTGTGAGACAGAAGCAAGTCTCTCCTCCTTCTTGGGCCTCAGTTTCCCCTGATTTAAAATGAGGGTTGGGTTCACCCAAACCTGAGGATAGGACTATACAGTACTGGGTTTAGCTAAGATCAGAGCCGCTGGACAGACCTGTGAAGCTTGGCACAAGATGGCAACAAAACATGAAACATTATCACAATGGAAATAGATCTATGAAACAATTAGCATGTAAGCCTCATTTCTGCATCTCATGTTCCTAAGGCATAAAACTTTGGCTTAAAGTTTTCATATGGACTGAGGGTGGCAAGGCTTTCCTGAAAGGGACCCTCACTGTGCTGGGAAGCCAAGGAAGTCACTTGCATATAGGCTTGGTTCTAATCAAACTCCTACACCTGGCCAGTACCTCCTGGAGATGGTACACTCTACCTTACCTGGAGCTCACAGATCATAGGTCCTTGTGTTGCACTGGGCTGTTTCCATCTAGTCTGAAGCTAAAGAATGAAATGAACGGCTTCATTTTGTTTTCTTCCAGCCCACCCTTGGCCACACTCCAGCCCCCACCTGCCGTGCAAGGCAATGGAGGTTCTGGCAGCTCCAGTGAGTCAGAGAGCAGCTCCGAATCGGACTCTGACACAGAAAGCAGCACCACTGACAGCGAGTCCAACGAGGCACCTCGAGTGGCCACTCCAGAGGTGGGTCGAAGCAGCCAGGGTCCAACCATTTACACACACAGAATGCAAGCATTTCAGGGCACGTTTTTGTCTTAAACATATATTTGCATAGGCCCTAGCATAGCCCCATTTCTTACTGTGTGACTTGCTGTGGGACTGTGTCAAGCTTCCTCATGGGTAGAGCTCCTACAGGAAGGACTGGAGTAGCAGGTTCTAGTTTGAGAAAAACAACAAAACTCAACAAGACCACTTCTCGCCTGGGCAAATTCACCCTTACTCTCCATGAAAGTTATGATGATGGTGAGTTGCCTTAGGCAAGGAACACGCAAGCAGGATGCCTTGCCTTAAAGGCAAAATGATAGCTGAAGGGTCACATTCCTTTTATTTCTATTTAAATCAAGTGTGCTTGTTAATGACTCATGAAGACATTGGCTACAGCCCTGAAAAACACACAATCATTTGGAATTCAAAATAAAAAAACTATTTTGTTCATTCCTTTCATCCTCTCCCAGAGCCAAAACGTGGCACAACAAGAAATGCCCCTCCCCCACCTCTCCATGCAGGTGTCTTTCCATAGCCAGGAGGGAGTGACAGAAGTAGGCAGCAGCAGCCCTAGCGCGGCTGCAAATCATAGCAACCACGGCTCATGCATGCCACGCGCTTTTCTGAACTCTTCACTTGCATGTCCTTGGCTGATCTTCATCACAGCCCTATGGGTCATGAAACCACTGTTAGGATCTGCGCTTTGCAGTGGGGGTGCCAGTTTCTGAGAGCGACTTTCTCAAGCTCCCTCACACGCACAGCAGTGAGGGAGTAGGACTAAACTCCAGGTCTGTGTGTCACCAGAGCTGAGGTTCTTCACCTTAAAGCTATGCCACTGATAGTGGCAGCCAGTACATCCTTGGTCTTTACCTGCCATTGTCCTGTGCAGGTTGGACCACAGCTTACTCAAATGTTTTTAATTTTGACACCCTCTATCAGCTGGTGCCATAAGCTTCAGTTGATGGCTTTCAAAAGAAGAGGTCTCTCTAATAAAAATGATAGCCCTTTTTGTTCAAGTGGCAGAATCCAGAGTTGGGAATGCAGGACCCGAATTGTAAGCATCATTTCTGTGGCTTAACAGTGGACACTAATGTCCGTATTCATGTCCCCATAAATCGGTTATTGCCTGTACACTGAGGAAAGTGCCATGGGTTTTTTTTTTTTTTTTTTTTTTTGGAAGTCAAATCCTTTCATCCTCCAGTAAAAGTACAAAAGGCTTGTTCTGTTTGCCATGAATCAGAGCATCACGTAGGAGGCACTGGCACTTCGGCGGATGGAAAGCCTCTCCTTTTGAATTACACTTGAGGCCTGCTTAGATTTCTTTTCAGGATCAGAGACCATTACTGCTGTCTCCTGCTGAGAGGTCTGGTGATGATTCTCAGCAAAGAATTTTGGGAACAGGTTTTCCTCCCAGGAACCCCTGCCTACTTCTGAAACATCTCCCTGTGAATAATTCTTTCCTTCCTAACCAGAGTAGAGAATATTGTCAGTGGAAGAGTGGGAATTAGTTTAAATAAGCGGACTGCAGCTGCTTTGTATCTGGCTATCTGGGAAATTTGATTAGTGTGGGTAGTGCATGTGTGCATGGGTGTGTGTGTTTGGCTATGTATGAATGTTCACTTGATACCCAAAGCTTTTATCAGCAAGCGGGCACTGTATTGAAGATTCTTCTAAATTCATCACAAATCTGAAATTCATTCTTGCTGCTTTTTCTCAATCTGTAGCCTGAGCCACCCTCAACCAACAAGTGGCAGCTGGATAAGTGGCTTAATAAGGTGACATCTCAGAACAAGTCATTTATTTGTGGCCAAAATGAAACACCCATGGAGACGATTTCTCTGCCTCCTCCAATTATCCAGCCAATGGAAGTCCAGATCAAAGTGAAATCAAACCCCAGCCAGGTATTGGCTGAACCCAAAGAAAGGCCTCTCCTGAGTCTCATTAGGGAGAAAGCCCGTCCTCGGCCCACCCAGAAAACTCCAGAAACCAAGGCTTTGAAGCATAAGTTGACAGCGACTATTGAGACAGCTTCTCAAAGGACAATTGGGAAGAAACACTCCAAAAAAATTGAGAAGAACACCAGCATTGAGGAGTTTACCTGGCCTAAACCAAATATTACCAGCAGCACTCCCAAAGAAAAAGAAAGTGTGGAGCCTCCTGAACCACCAAGAAGCCGCAACAAAGCCACTGCCCACAAACCAGTCCCTCGGAAAGAACCCAGGCCTAACATCTCCTTGGCTGCTGAGAAGAAGAAGTACAGAGGGCCTGGGAAGATTGTGCCAAAGTCCCGGGAATTCATCGAAACAGATTCGTCTACATCAGACTCCAACACGGATCAGGAAGAGACCTTACAGATCAAAGTGCTGCCTCCTTGCATGGCTCCTGGAGGCAACCCTGCAAAAGCCAAGGAGACCTGTGGTGCCAGCCGGACCTTTAGCACCTTAATCAACAGCAGCAGCAGCAGCAGCAGCAATAACAGCGTATCCAGCAGTAATGACGAGACATCTTTCTCACCTATTTCTGTCATGCAAACAGAGCTTCTGTCCCCTCTTCGAGATCACGAGAATCTGAAAAACCTCTGGGTGAAGATTGACCTTGACTTACTTTCTAGAGTACCTGGCCACAACTCAGTCCAAGCAGCACCCACCAAGCCAGACCACAAGGAAACTGCCTCCAAACCCAGACGTCAGACTGGTGCCACGGCTGTGGAAAAACCAGCCCCAAAGGGCAAGCGCAAGCACAAGGTAAGCTGTTCACCGTGGCTTGCCAGGTGGTCAGGAGCAGTGGCCGGCTGTTACCGCACTTCATCTGGAGTCTCATTGTCAAGGAGGCCAGTGGTGATAGATTTGCAGACTTTGGTGTTGCTTCCCACAGGAAATACAGTATTTGACACATGATCGTGGACAAAGCATTAGAGTGACAAAGGTTCGGCAGCTAGTGGCAAGAGTGTCCAACATGGCACGTGAGAGATTATTGTGTGTAGGAAAAGATGTGAAGAAAGTCACCCAGAGCACCACCACCAGTCAGCTACTGGAGTCAGCTCTTTAAACTTCTCCTGCTATCAGGGACTTACTGTTCTGCAGCCCCCAAGTGTGCCCACGATTCCCCAGTGCATCCTCTGGGCTTGTTCATTTCTCTAGATAAACACTAACACACTCACCACCCAGTCATCTTAGGAGTCCCGTGGGAGCACCGCAGGCGTGTTCTGCTCAGTCAGCTGGGATCACTGGTTTAAGGGGTAGGCTTGCCTTGGGAACGTCTTGCCTGCAGGCAGTGGGGGCTGAATTCCAGGACTCCAAATTAGAGAAAGAGAATGGCCCTTCCCATTTGAAATATGTCTGCTGAGACAAGCTTGTGGCCAATAAACTCATTCTAATTTATCTATAGATTCAGATTTTTTGAGAATAATATCAAATGGTGACCTTCTGGTACTCTTATTTCCAACAGCTGTCTCAGGGGCTGGAGACAGCCACTTCCTAATCCTTTTCTCTATTTCTTTGATTTCTTCCTGGAGAAACTTAGTATGGCAGAAATAGCTCAGATCCCTCAGTGAAGAGCAGCCCAGCCATTGCCAGTAGTGACCAACTGAAAAGGCTACTGCAAGACTGATTTCCGTGTTTACTCAACTTTAATCTAGACATAGAAATCAGAGGGTATGATATCTGAGTCATTCAGCAAACATATCCAGCGAGTGTTCCAAAATAAGGAGCAGTAGTCGTGGGACCGTTGCCCCTCCACTGCTTTGTCTCTCAGCGATGACAGTGGTAGAAGCGGAGGTGAAACTGGAGCTTTCAGGCTAACCCATGCACGGATTGAAAGGTGTCCCCTCACTTGGCTCACCTCCCCGAGCGTTGTTGATCTCCTAGGTGGCCTCTGCATCTCCTCCCCATCTCTGCGGTGCACCACATTAGAGTTACAAGGTTATTTCTAAATCAGATACTTGCGTGAGTGTGGTTGATGAAGGAAGTGACGGAGAAGGACAGATTCTCTTTACTTTTGTTAGGAGATTCCTGAGCCACCCAATTTTTAATCAGACGTTTGCATCGCAGTTCAAGTCTCTCAAATGCCAGCCTCTCTGTAGGACTAGACTAGAGAAGGCTGATTGCTTTTCTGCGTGATCAAAGGTGCACATTTAACTGCCTACCTAATCTAGAAGTTAATATAGCAGCAAACTATCTTGATCATTGTTTTAAATTCTGAAACATGCTTGTCTGAATGAGTCATGTATTTCAAGAGATTTTTTTTTTTTTTTCTCTTTCTCCCTCACCCCTTTCTCCCTCGTCAAAGCCAACCGAAGTTGCAGAGAAAATCCCGGAGAAGAAGCAGCGCCTGGAGGAGGCCTCGGCTCTCTGCTTGCTTCCCCCTTGTATCTCACCAGCACCACCCCACAAGCCTCCCAGCGCCAGAGAGTAAGTTTGCCCTGGCTCTGCTTGATCTTTCCGACTTTCACGAACCCCTCACTGAACACTTTGTGGGGTATTTGGACTCAGAGGAAAGCCAGGCAATTATGAGGAGTAACTCAGCCAGGCCTGACAGCTGGCCCTGGCCACGGGTCTCATAGGAGAAGCACAAAGGATATGCAGGCTGCCAGGTTGGAGGTCCCTATGAGCTTTGTAGCAACATTTCTTCATGCCAACTCAGACTGACCACCAAAATCAGCCACAATGAACTTTTCATGCTGAGAATAGTAAAACGTGAGTTAAAAATGCGTAGTGTCAAGTGACACCTATCACTTTAACCAACTCACCTGCTTCTGGCAGGAACAAAATTCGGTTCTGATGATGATTAAATAGTTTTCCTGCTAAAACAACCCCTTGGTGTTGACTGGTGACCCAGCTGGTGCTCTTTGGTGTTATTACCTAATGTTAATCCAAAGCCTGAGGACCAGCAGCTACACGATGAACTCCACAGAGGCTAGGGGAACGAAGGAGAGATAGGTTGTCAGGGAGATGCCTCTCCCTGGGGAGTTCTGTGACCAGACAGCCAGCTAGGGAAGCATATGTAAATTCCAACTCACCGGCACTTCCTCTCCTCGCCTTCTCTGTGTGGAAGGCTTGCAAGTCAAGCAGGAAGTCTCCTCCTTCCCTCTTCTCTCAAATACCATTAGCGTTCGCTAGAGAAGTCCTGCCCTGTTTCTACCAAGCATCATAACTGAGTTCTTTCTGTCTTATAAATATCACTTAACTAACAATCATGTCAGCTACTTGAACCATTCCATCTGGGTAATTATTGCCATAAATTCATTCAACATTAGAGATTACTTCCATCAAAGCCCAGTTTGGGAGCCTATTAGCAGCCCAGAGCAGAGGCAATCTGGCTAACTGCTTCTATACAATTGATTTCACAGATTACTGTTTAACATCAGTGATATGGCATCAATCTGCCCCAGATCAGATGTCGGGAGTAAGTTATCAGCTTGCATGGGCCTGGATCTTTGTTGTTTTGAGATATAAAGTAGGAAGAACCCAATTACTACTAGGTCCTTAGTAGGTCCCGGAGGGTCAGCAGTTATTTGTGAGGCTTGTCTGCACTCTCTGCTTTGTCCTGGCTCTGAAAGGTCCATTCATCGAGGAAAAAGGCAAAAGCAGTGGCACACTGTCACCACCTCAGTCCCCACTGCTACTCACCCCAGAGGCTCATTACTCACTCTGTCTTCTGGAGGACAAGTGAACAAGCACAAAGTAAACAGGTAGGCATTTGTGCTTGGTTTTATAAAATGGTAGTTTTAATCTATAGTTTCCTAGTGTTTCTGCTTTTCTACTAGGCAAAAAAGCAGTGTTTCCCAAGGGCCTTTATTATTCAGGAAAGGCCTGAAGCAAGTTCTTAGACTCATCAAACAAAATCAAATCTCTGAAAAGCAGGAAGAAAGTAGCAAGGACTGGTGTCTTTGAGGCCTTCTCTTGGGAATCTCCTCTCAAGAGTTTTCTGGTCCCTTGTGCCTTTAACTTTTCACACTAAACCCCTAGCATTTTTACCACACAATATTCACTTTTTTAAATGGCTATCCTAACTAGCAAAGATGACACACCGGACTATGACAACTGATGTCCCCTGTCATCCAAAAGAAGGGCTCTGACTGGTCATTCAAGACATAAAAATTAAAACAATACCAACATTCCACCTCACTCCAGAAAGAATGGCAATTATTGAGAAATTAATAACAAATTTGGCTGGGGCTGTGAGGAAAAGGGAACCCTTCTTCACTGTTGGTGGGAGAGTAGACTGGTGCAACCACCGTGGAAATCAGTGTGGAGAACCAAAAAAAATTAGGATTAGAGGTTCCTCTTGACCCAACAATCCTCCTGCTACATGTCTTCCCAAAAGAATTAAAAACATTATGCCACAGTGGTATATATACATCTATATTTATAGTATCACAATTTGCAATAGATAAATCTTGGAAACAATCCAAATGGCCATCAACCACTGAATGGGTAAAAACCATGTGTTTTTTAATTCAATGGAGTACTGCTCATCATAAAGAAGGATAAACCTGAGACATTCCTAGGTAAGTGGATGCATGTACCTTGAGACCATACTCTTCAGTGAAATAAGTCAGACACACGTGTAAATAACACCTTGTTTCTTTGGTGTGAGAAACTGAAAGGGTAAACAAGAATCAAACTGTATAATAGGTATAGTGAAATAGGAATAAATAGTTCAAAAGAAAGGGGGTCTAGGGAGACTGGAAGAGAGAAAGGAAGGAAGGGGAGAAAATGATAGAAGGATAAAATGAAAACAAAGCTTCGTGATGAGAGGAAGAGTGGCTGAAGGGATGAGAGGGGTTTGGAAAGAAAAAAATAGGGTGCAGGGTACACCACGAATCAGTACAAATTCCTTATAGTGAATGTGATCATTGTGTGTATCAAAACTGTACCAGTAAACTTAATAAAATTTTTTTTTAAAAAAGACAAAGGCTCTGAGGATCCCCTCTTATCCTGGGCGCTTGGCCTTTGACCAGGGAATTACACAATAAAGAGGAACCCAAAGATACAAAACCCATAACAGTAGGAGAGCTATCTCTAGACACTCCTTGGGTGGTCTTTTGCCTGGGTAAGTCATTAAAGACCCCAATGGTTCCAGGTCACTACCAGGCAGAGGGAAAGGGGGCGAGGCCACTGGCACCCATCACACGGAATGCAGCAAGTCCCCATCAGTCCGCTCAGGCTCAGGGGCTGATGGGAAAGCGTTGGCTGTCATAGACAATAGCAAAGTCATTGCTTCTCAGAAGCTTCTCTTCCTACTCCTCCTGCCTTCTCTACCAGCTCAGGTTGTGGGAGACTGATCACAACTAAGGTGTTATTCACCTCCTGTAGATGCCATGGCAAGGCTTGATGTGGGTGTATATTAATTTCCAAAGGTCAGGTGCCTCTGAAATTACTGCATTCAATGTGAACTAATGCAAGTAGAACTTCTTTGTGGATGAGAATCTTAATCTATGCATTTCCCATCACTTTTATCTGGTATCACAACTATCTTACGATGGTTCACATTTCACATTTTAAAAATCCATTAGCAAGCATTTTATATTAATTTTAATTGGTTAAGGTGATGACAGAGTCACCTAACTTTCTTTTTTATACCTTCACCAAGTGACAATAAAATGACATAGGGCCATGTTTATATTACAAAAGATGAAGAAGAGGACACATATTGTTACAGTTGGCAAATTTGTGCAATGTAGCCAAAGTGGACTAAGGAGACTGCACTGATTTCTATTTCAGGAAATCAGACCACTTGAATGCTTGTTCGTCTTTGATTTGTTGCTTAGAGATATGGCAAATCTATATTTCTGGACACTGAATGAAATTGACCAAGAGGAAAACATAAATTCTTGTTGACTTAATTTGCTATTGAAAATTGTAGTCAATAATCATGAAAAGTAAATGGCTGTGCAGTGCAATATTAATTGTCTAAGAAAATATTAAAATTCAAGTAATCCTCATTGATTAGTCTAAGACAGTAACTAAAATGAAAATCCATGACCCAATTACCATGTTAAGCAATTAGCATAAGATTTCAGTTGTTCTGTTTTATTTGAAGTCTCAGTCTTTTTGATGGTGCCCATTTAATGGGCAGATAAATCAGCTTACAAGCATGGGAGTACTTCCAGGATGGTAGATATCACATGTCAATAAGAGCAAAGAATCTTTTTTAAATGGACTTTTGTGGAGTACATCAGTACTTCAGTAAAACAGTTTAAGGTCAGATGCTCATTATGATTTGGTGATGAGGTAGAACATTTTGTACATGCAATTTGCAATGTGTCACAATATTAGTTGATGTATAATTTGTTTCTAAGTAACATATAATCATAAAATTTCTTAAGAAATTATCTTTTCGGGGCTGGGGATTTAGCTCAGTGGCATAAGCACCTGCCTTGCAAGCAGGTGGTCATGAGTTCGATCCCCGGTACCGATAAAAAAAAAAAAAAAAAAAAAAAAAGAAAGAAACTTTTTCACTTATTGTATACTATACCATTTATTGCATGATTATTAAGTCCTAGGGCAAAATAAGTAGAAACTATCCTAAAAGTGATAGGATTAAAGTCTGAATTTTATTTTTTTAAATCTAATTAATAATAATCTAATTTTGGTAGGTTGCAAATATTACAGTGCAGTGTACTTTTTTTTTCTCTTTTTGAGACAGGGTCTTGCTATGCAGTTCAGGCTGGCCTTGAGCTCACTCTGGAGCCCAGGCTGGCCTCAAATTTGCAAAGATCTTCGTGCCTCTGCCTCCTGAATGCTGGAATTAGAGGCATGCACCACCACACTCAGTTGCAGCATACTCTTTTAAGGTGTTTACATTTGTCATGGAGTTCTGCTTCCAAGAGAGATGTTTAATTTTGGGTACATAGGTGTGCCTCTATGTATATGTAGAGATACCTGTATAGATATCTATGTCTATGTTATACACATGCTTCACCGTAGATAAAGGATCATCAACTAAAATAGAATTCTAACTAAAAGTTCTAGCACGGTGGGGAAAGTCAGAATAAAGCAAGATAACACTTTCTGATACCGTATACATTTTGTTTCCACAGAAATAATTCATCCAGGAGAGCAAATAGAAGAAAAGAAGAAAAACTCTTCCCTCCTCCGCTTTCCCCATTGCCAGAGGACCCTCCACGTCGCAGAAACATCAGCGGCAGTAACGGGTCCTTCAGTCAGGACAAGAACATCCCCATGACTGGACAGATCACCTCTACTAAACCCAAGAGAAGTGAAGGCAAATTTTGTGCTACTTTCAAAGGGATATCCGTAAATGTAAGTGTCTTTGAAGACAGATTATCGTTGTCAGATAGAAACAAGTTAAAACCACTCATCTAACTTGACTTGACCAGAGTGATATTGCAAGCAGGAAGGGAAGCTGAGGCACAGAGAACACACAGATGGGGTGTAAGTGTGTACACAGACATGAAAATTCCCCATTACTCTTATCCCAAATCTCGATTATCCTAACTCAGCATAAATTTTTGCCTTTCCAGATTAATTCTCTGCCTTGCTTTCCCAGAGTTTGCACATGCAGAGATACAGGGATGTGGGCATCCTTCACTTCCGTCTCTTCATATCTTAGGGGCTGGGGAAGACACTTCCACAATACTGACCAAAGTCGCTGGCACATGGTTGGCACAGATCATTTAGTGAATGAAAGAACAAGTGGGCGGATGAGGATTTCCCAAGGTCACTGGCCTGGCACAGAAGGTCCAGGTGGAATCCTTCGACATCTCAGCTTGGCCAATGTGAATTGTTTTCTAAAATAGTGATTAAATTGGATTGAATTTAAAGAGAATCTATGTTGCTAAAATTGCATAGTTATGATTCTAAACTCAGCTAAAGGACATGGTCTCTTAAATTTTCTGCATTGCTCCTCAGTTAACATAGGCAATTTAAAAACTATATAACTTTTCATACTCATATACAATTTCTTTTCCTTTATCTCAGGTATAGGACATGAACTATATATATAGAGGGGGGATGGGGAGGAGAGGGAGAGGGAGAGAGAGACAGAGACAGAGAGTGAGAGAGATACAAATGCGACATCCATATGCATGTAGTCTTTTTAATACATGATATAAAAGGCAAAGGAATAACGGAAGTTTTCACAAGTCTGTAACCAACATTTTCGACCCTGAACCAAGAGTCCTCATTTAACACGCATAAAAGCCCACGAAGTCTCTGACTTTAAAAGACCCTAACTATAATACTCCATCATCTGAGATGATTGAGATGACCTTGATATCTAAGTAGACTTCCTTATCTATATAAAGGAATTACTCCCGTATGATGTTGTCATTTTTCCATACACATTTAATGATTCTGACTGCACAGTGTTGGAAATTAAGCCATCTATTCTAAACAGTAATTATACTATCCATCCTATTTTTCACCCTGAGTGTAATTAATATTATGAACTCCAACTGATGCTTTTTTTCTACTACAAGCTTTTGGAGGGCATGCAACTCACTGGGGAATTCTCTTTGTATAGTGTCTAGTACATTGTCACAAATAATTAGATGTTGTAAATAATAATGCCTAGTATGTTGGTAGCAATAATTAAATGTTATAAATAATATAGATGTTATTATGGCAATGAAACTGCTTCTAAGAATCTGCAGCCATTTCCACAAGAGCTGAGAACCACTGGAGAAACTCGATAAAGGTGATTATATTCACTCCTAGAAATGCTTTACCCTTCTTTAAGGATCATGGAGCATCTCTGGGTTCATAAAATGAATGGATTCTTCCCGCCATGAGAATGTTTTCAATTTTGTACTCCCAGAGTCTTCTCTATCCCATTTGCACATGAAGTGCTGTTTATTAAGTCAATGACGGGTGAGTGTGGACAGATGACATGTTTATATAATTCCCATGATCTTGGCTGCATCTTGCCATTTCTAGTCAGACATTCCAGAAGGAGCATCAACACCACGTGTATGGCAGATGTGGTGTTTCAGGGTTCCTGTCACATAACTTGCCCATGGATCCAGACAGAGCCACTCTCTTGGACTAAATCCACTGATTGGTCTGGGCCAGTCTGGCTCTGGAAGTGGAGGTATAGAACTGGCCCAGGAGTTTCTTATGACCGTGATTCTTTTATATTTTTGAGTTGGAATTTTACTTTAATATATTTTCTCCATAACTAATTTATAGCTCCACCCCCACCTCACATGTTTGTCATGATGCATTCTGAGTGGTAAGAATTATTTGATAGTTGCAAGGTTAAGAATCAAGTGGAAAAGATCAACTCACATGAATATAAGAAGTGTCACATTTGCTTTTTCCAACTGAACCTCTTGACTGGGATGGACACAAAGGCATACGTGAAGGCACACGTTCAGCAATGCTAAGGGTGCTGGGCTGTGAAGTGCAGAGGCAGTGTCTAAATTCCAAGATAGCTCCCAACTTGAAGTACGCAAGAAGCAAGACATATGCTCAGAGGTAGAGTATAAAATTGGCTGGTGGTTGGCATTTTAGAAAAGGAAAGTTATGCAGTCTTAAAAAGAAGAAAATCCTACTGTGCACCATCACATGGATGAACTTGAGTATGTGATGCTACATGGAGTAAGCCAGGTGCCAAAGGACAAACCGCATAGGATCTCACTTGTGTGAGTTCCATAAAGAAGTCACACTCGTGGAGACAGAAAGAACAATGGTGATGCCAAGGACTTAGGTGCAGGGGAAAAGGGGTGCTGCCGCTTAATGAGTATCAGGGGTCAGTTCGGCTAGTTGAGAAAAAGTTCTGGAGAACGCCTGCACAGCAATGTGAATGTTCTTAACAGTCTGAACTGTATGCTTAAATACGGCTAACCAGGATGCTCAGTGTCACATGTGCATTTCACCACAAATTTAAGGATTTAAAAATGAAATTGAAATAATGAAGTAGCACAAGGTAGAAAGAAAGAGAGTGAGACATAAAGAAAGGAGGGGAGAGAGGAAGAGATACAGAAGAGGAGACAATGGAGAGCGGGAGGGAAGAGAAGGAGTGAGGCAGGGAGAGAGGGAAAAGAAGGAAGGGAGGCTGGTTCAGTCTTTTTGAAATCTAAGAGTTCAAGCCGGGCGTGGTGGCTCATGCCTATAATCGAACCCTCAGGAGGCTGAGGTGGGAGGATCGTTGTGAGTTCGAGACCAGCCTGGGCCACAAAGTGAGCTGAAGGCCAGCCTGAACTGCATAGTGAGACCCCATCTCAAAAAAGATTTTAAAGAAAAAAGAAGGGAAATCTAAATGTTCACGTGAACCAGGTCAGGAAAGTGCAGAACGCAGACATGCATTCCATTTTTTTTTTTTTTTTTTTGAAGCCAAGGTCCAAGAAAGAGACAAGTTGGAGATTGGGCCCAGGGCTGAAGTCAAGTCAGGGAGAGCTTGAGTGCCAGCACAGGACCTCAGTTCTGAGTTTGTATTTGGGTGTGGGTCAATACCCACACCCAAATACAAACTTCGGCTTCGTGAGGCTGAAGGCTGTGGCTCCATGCAGACCTGTGCTTTGAAGCTGCAAGGAACAAGGGGGTGAATTTGAGGGTTTTTTGCGGGGTGGGGGGGCTACAGTGAATAAGAGTCGGTTCATGAATACAGGCAACAGACAGGAGGAAATGAAAGATGAAATAGAGTAGTGGTTATCAAAAAGTTTTAAGAGCAACACCACTTTCTGAAACGAAGTAACTTACAGAACACATAAAGCTGATTGAAGCAGAGCATCTCAGACAAAAGGCAAGGTGGAGGGGCCAGCCCGACCTGCTATCATACCTCACTCAGCCCTAGGACCTCCACAGTTCCCTGTGGAATGATGCCACATTCAACTGAGAACTCCTTGGTGATTGGAAGAAATCCAGCCTTGTGGGCAGGGAAGACCAGCAGACCATTAACAGAAAGCAGGAACTGATTTGGTTCCCAATTTGAATAAAGAAACATTTGAGCAATTAATGGGCCATCTTGCTGGGTCTGTCCAGCAGTGGTCATTAGAGGTCAGGTGCTTTGGAAGGGAGGGTAAGGCTGAAGCTGCCATTCAGGAATGATCTGTTGATGGTTGAATTGTGTCAACACACACAGGATCAACAGATCTGGTGGGAAAAGAAGAGAGCAAGAGAAGGATCACTCGGACAAGGGAATCTTAGAGAGAAACCAACTCAAAGAGCAGAAGGAGAACAGGTGCCTCAGGAAGCCCTGTCTGACGCAGAATAGTCAGCATAGTTCCAGTTTCCAGGTGCAGTGCAAACATGGCAAGCTGTCCCTCAATAGCAAATCTTATCCCCGACTATCTTCTGGATCCCATCCTCTCTACAGCAGTGACAGGGCAAAGCCCGTGTAAGTCTCTTAGCTGTTTGTCTATTTATTTGGTAAAAATAAGGCTTCACCATCCCAAGACTTCAACAGGAGATGCGTTCGTATGGCATCCACCTAACTGGAAAGCAGTCAAGGCCCGCACATGAACCAAAGGGCGGCTTGGGTCTCAGGCCAGCGGGGCACTGACTCGGGCTGGCGGGGCATGCACACTTCATGGCCTGGTGTTTGTGTATTTTGTTGGACCAAGTTTCGTCTCTCTCAGAGTGACCTGAAGATTTTATTTAACCTAGAGAGAGTTTTGGGGCTGGTCATATCAAAAGTATTCATTTAGGGTCAAATATTCTAAGCAGTCTCTGTCTCTGTCTCTGTCTCTGTCTCTCTCTCTCTCTCTCTCTCTCTCTCTCTGTCTCTCTCTCTCTCTCTCTCTCTGTCTCTCTCTCTGCATGTGTGCCTCTGTCTCTCTCTCTCTTCCCTCATATACATCTTCTTCTTCAGCATCTCCTCCCTTTTATCCATCTTTTGTCCTTTCTACAGCCTTCCTTCTGTCACCTCCCATTTCCCAGTGGGTTCAGACCTTTTCTCCACCTGTTTAGCCCACTGGGGATGTGTAGTTACAGCACCTGATTAGTTTGGGGTTGGTATCATCCTACAACAAAAGCTGGTGAATTACAGCATTCATAAAATGTACCAGAGTCTCATATTCATGTAGCTAAACTGTTTTTTCTCATCTGGTTTCTTACTATGCGTGACCATCAAAACATTTATGAAAAGATGTTCTAGAAAGCTGGACCTAATGGAAGCTACTTGTCCTCCTTTTTCTCAGGAGGGAGACACTCCAAAAAAGACTGCTTCTGCCACCATCACTGTCAGCAATACTGCTATTGCCACTGCCACTGTCACTGCTACTGCCACTGTCACAGCTACTGCCACCACTACTGCCACGGCCACCACTACAACTACCACCACTACTATTTCCACCATCACCTCTACTATCACTACTGGCCTCATGGACAGCAGTCACCTGGAGATGACGTCCTGGGCAGCCCTGCCTCTCCTGTCCAGCAGCAGCACTAATGTCCGGAGACCCAAGCTCACTTTTGATGACTCGTATGTTGTCCCCACATTATCACAGACACAGTTTTTTTTTTAATTTAAAGAGAAAAAAAAAACAAAGCAGTTAAAGGGTACAAGTAATATAGAATTTCAAGAAAAAAATATCTAGTAAGAAATCATTAGTTAATAGATTATATATTGTCATCTTAGAAACAGTTGTCCAAGTTACAAAATTAAAGCATACAAAGTAGACATTCATACAGTGAGATTGCAGACAGTCACTGACACAGTTTTACAGTGGCGATTGGGGTGGGAGTGTAAGTGGGCTGGCTTATCAAGTGTCCTGCATGTGCCACCCTACATAAGACCTTAGTCTCCTGTCCTATTGCCTTAAAAGTCTGTTCCCCCTCCACGTACACACCTCTGTCCCCACCGAGAAATGTCCTTGGCTCATTTTAATCATGAAACTTTGTTACTGTTTCCAAGGGCAAGTGCTTCCTTCTGTTTGTCCTTTCTTAACCGTGTCCTCAGAGGGACATAGATTTGGAGCTAGGTTTGTGGGACCTATTTGATAGCTGTAATGATTAGGGTTAAAGGACGTGGTTATTTATCCTAATGGGCCATTATGCACTTCAGGTTTCATTTACAGTATTATTTCAAGGTTGGTTTATGAAATGAATGACAGCATTAGTCTGCCTTTTTCAAGGTGCCTCACAGGAATAGATGTATAGCTCATAATGTTTGTGCCTAGTCTTCTGATGAAAAGATGCGCCACTGGTTTGTGAAAGAGCTTGTTTTGTTTGCTTAGGGTTCACAATGCTGATTACTACATGCAAGAGGCTAAGAAGCTGAAGCACAAAGCTGATGCACTGGTAGGTTTCCTTCCTCTCTTCGCTTTGTTCTTACTAAATATCTTGGTCGGAAAGAAAACAGGAAGACCCTTTCCCAACAAGTTAAACTTTCAGCAGCACAACCCAAACCTGCTTTGCAGTGCACTGCTGTTCTGACCGGGGGATACTGGAACTGCTTGATTCCTTTGCACAATAATCCCTACATCTATTTGAGCTGGGTCCCCCCATCATTCTTTTTCTGTACTCTCTTCCCCTTTTCTCCAACTTCAGAAGTGCTTTGTCATTATATTTGAAGTGAATTTGAAATGATATTTAAGTACCTTGGAGATGAGAGATATTCCCATTGGGCCCAATAAACCAGAACTGGTGTGGGGAGTGGAGGACGTTGAGAGCTGGCTAACTGGCCTCAGAACTTGGCTTTGGGAAACTCTGATCTGCAGAAAAACCTCAGCATTTTGCTGTATCTGGTTATGTGTTCCCAGAGCGAGGCCCACAGCCAGGCTGTAACCCTGAGCAGAGAGAGACAGTGCTGCCATTTGGATTTCCCAAGCATCTTGGCTACTCAGTCTGTTGCTAAACTCAGTACACCAAACTGTTTTACTTAACTGATCCTCTTAATGGTGGGTCTCACCAATGCGGTATAATCACTTGGGAAGCTTAGGCTTACCCCAGATCAGTGCAATCTGAATTTCTGGGACCAGAAAGCTCCAAAGTTGGAGTTCTGTAGGTGATTCCCAAAATCAGTCATTTGATAAGGACTGTCTTAGAGAAGGACCCCACATCGGGCTTCTCACCACTGACTAAACCCAAGATCAAGTAGAAGTATCACTTCAACCCCTTGAGAGAAAAAAATAACATCCTACATCACCACACTGTGGCTAGCCAAAACCCAGCTTTGTGCATCACGGGGAAGCCCAGGGTGGAGTAACATGATAGCCTCTGCCCTAAAACTAGTGTGTTGCCCACTGCGACTGCCCATTGCTCTTAAATCTTCTCCTTCCTTACTTGCTGTTATTTTCCCTTGAGGTGCAAATTGCTTAGCTACTGTCTGTAGCTAAATTTCTAGGTGTGAATTTCCCCCTAGAAACAGTTTTCTCTTACTTTTGTGACAAAAATGACAAAGCAGTCTAAAGGCCAGCTCCAGTAGAGATACCTGGCAGATGATTCCTATGATTGTTGTGTAGGTGACAAGAGATTTGAAAGGTGGCAATGGTCCTGGCTGAAAGACCAAAAGTTTTCTCCAAATGTTCTCAACTCCACAGTATTTCAGAAGTGCTCAGAAGCCTGCTTTCTATCAAAGTTGGGCACAGGAGCACATAGGTGAGACCTTTGGAGAACAGAAAAATGAGAGCCACAAGGGTATATATAGATGATTAAGAATTAATATAAAACCAGGCTTAGTGTCACGCATCTGTAATCTCAGCTACGTGGGAGACTGAGGCAGGAAGATTCTGTTTGAAGTCAGCCTGGGCAACTTGGTGAGACTCTGTCCCCCTCCCACCGAATGCGAAAGACTCAGAGTGTAGCTCAGTGGTCAAATGTTTACCTAGCATGTACAAGGCCATGAGTTCCATAACCACGACCCATTCTCCACAAGAAAAGAATTAATAACACTACCTCCAGGCTCTGCTTAAATAGCTGTCTCTCTATATCACTTTGAGTGTAATTCATCTAGAGAATGTGTTCTCAGCTGTAGAGATCTGCTCCCATGACAAAAATTCATTTCTAATCAAGACTTCAAAACCATCACTATTATGATGAACTGTTGTCTTTCAAAGGGGTAATGTATATAAGAAGAACACTAAATATATATTTAGTGTTCAACTTTCACTAGGGAAAGTCAGGCATGGTTGTACATGCCTGTGATCTCAGCACTTGGGAGACAGAGACAGGAGGAACATGAATTTGAGTCCAGCCTGGAAGACTTAGAGACCCTGCCCCATAATTAACTAATTAATTAATTAATTAATTAATAGATAGATAGGGCCAAGGATATAGCTTAATACAAAGGCCCTGGGTTCAGTCCATAGTACCACAAAAATAATGAATTGGGGGAATATAAAAAACTCTTTTAGGGTTGATGAAAATGCCAAAGAAAGTTGGAGGCACACTCAGAGGAATCGTATTCCAATCCATAATAGGATTGGAAGCACCTTTGTAGTTTAAGTGCCTTGATTTATAGATAGGAAACCTAGCAGAGGCCTAAGGACATGACCTGCCCATTCATTTGCACTATGGCTGTGTCTTTTTTTTTAGGTCTGACCTCAGTTTTTTCTTCTTTTGGAGAAGATGGTCCTGTGTGCGTGTGTGTGTGTGTGTGTGTGTGTGTGTGTGTGTGCGTGTGTAGACTGAACCCAGGACTTTCACACTGAGCTACACTTTTTTATTTTTTGTTTGTTTTTCTCTTGAGGCAGGGTCTTGCTAAGTTGCTAAAAGCCTGCATGTGTGAGCTTCCTGCCTCACTCCCCCAGAGTGCGGGGGTTACAGGACTGTACCACCACACCCAGCTTGAGGCTAGATGATCTTCAAGGGTTCTTCCAGCTAGGAGCTTATGAATAAAAAGTCACTTTTGAAAGTCAGGATGTAAAAATTAATTTCCAAATGGGAAAACCACTGAGTCTGAGGAAACAACCTCGTAAGACAAGAGCAAAAGGAGGCGGTTTGCACGCTCCTGCAGAGGTTTCCGTAAAAGCGCGCTAAATGTGTTTGAAGCCAGCACTGTTCCACAGTGGCTGAAGAAAGGAAACCACAGAATTCCCTTAGTTCATGAGAGCTGAAGAACATTTATTGTAAAGAGAGTCATTTACAATGAGAGACTCTGCAGGACCGGTAACTAATCATTTTATAGTTGTTCTTAATCCTTTCTCAGAGACAGCTATTCCGCCATTTGGAGAACTGAAAGTTTCTCAGTTGCATAGAAAATATTTTTGATAAAAGGTATACAGGAAAATTAAAATAGCTAAATCTGTATTATATTGGTTGTTTTAAATAAAATACCGTATTAGTGGAAACCTTATATCCGGCTATCAAAAATTGAAAATGTTAAATCCAGTTATAAAATACTCACTATAAAAGTGTCAAATCTAATATTCATTACACATGAAAAAGAAATCAGTATGTCTAAGTCGGTTTAATCGTGACCATTATCGGGGCTAAAACCTTTTGCAATAAAATTTTACTAAACTAAAATATTTAGTAGTGCTATATTTTTTGGCTTTTTGACACACTATTACCCCATCATTTACACTGGAAGTGATGTGCTTATTGGCAACAGTCATGCTGCAGCTTCACATTTTTCATGGCAATAGCACCCATCTGTTACCCTCTTCCTGGGGATGAGGTCTGTGTTTGTTGCCCATACGGCTTACAAAAAGCAGTTTAGTCACCGGCACTTTGTAAAGGACACTGCAGTGACTGGCCAGTTTAATAACTTTAGTAATTGCCAACTAGTCACAGCACTGATTTTGCTCCTGCTTCAGCAAAATGATGATGATAACATATTCTATATTCTATATGTTTGGTGGCAACAATGATGCCACCAAACATATAGAATATCTCAGTATTCTCTGAGCAGTTTCTCCTGCTTAGCTGGCCTCAGTGTCATGATAATAGAACCCCAACCTAGTTCATTGCTCATCACCACCAATTCGTACCTTGTCCTCTCTGCTTATCAGGGTTTCTCAGCCTGGACACTTTTGGTATCTCGGACAGCTAATTCCCCTCCACAGAATGTTTAGCAGCATCTGAGGCAGCTGCCCTACAGGCGCCCAGGTCCCCAAGGGTGACAACCCAAAGTGTTTCCAGATATCACTAAATGTTCCCCAGGGGAAGGGGATAAAATTACCTCCAGTTGCAAGTCACGTGTTTATAGGAAAGGAAAGAGTGTCATGTTGATAAGTGACTTTCCTGTTTTAGTTCGAGAAATTTGGCAAAGCTGTGAATTATGCCGACGCTGCCCTGTCCTTCACCGAATGTGGCAATGCCATGGAACGTGACCCTCTGGAAGCCAAGTCCCCGTACACCATGTACTCTGAGACCGTGGAGCTCCTCAGGTGACTAGTCTTTCTGCAGTCATTTTTCTGAGCTCATTTCAGCCAGAACTAGAAGCTGTGATGTTTTCCTTTTTCCAAATATCCTTTCTATATATTAATGATATAACCAACACATCTTCTTCAGAAGCCATCATAATTAGTTCTAACCATTTTATTAATGTCACAGGAAATTTGTAATCAGTGGACACTGCTTTTATAAATTATGCCCTTCAGATTATAACATGGGTCTTATCATTTGCAATATTCACAAAATTAAAATGCAAATTTCAGGTAGAAGTAAAGAATTATCATCTCACTCTTTGGATCAACTTGTCTTTTCAAAGGTAAAGTTTTATAATTCAAACCAAGGTGGTGCTCTTCAGATTTCTATTACGAACTGTGTTATCTAAGAATTTCAATCTTGGTTATTAAAAAGGGAGGAGGTACAAGTCCATCTCAAAGTCAGCGTAGAAGGCTGCAGGTATAGCACAGACTTTCTCTGCATCTGGAATAAGAAAAACACACAAGGCGGTGGCAAGGGTTAGGGTAGAGATGAGAGGGTGAGACTAGAAAAGGGTATATTAATTGCGCACATTATTAGTTCCATTTACATTTTAAATGAAATTTTCTGGCCTGTTGGTCTTGGTAGAAAATAATCTATGGGAAATTAAAAAAAGTCCTAGAAGCAGATGGAGATGGAGTAGGAGGAAAAGAAATATCCACTCTAGTGTTTTCCAGTGATTTGTAAATGTTAGTAAAAGAATTTCATCCACCCTGGAATACTAGATAAGTGAGCTCTTCCACTCCCCTCTCTCACCATCACTCAGTAATGCAAGGCTTGGTTTATACTCTTGTGCTCCTTACAGCTGCATAAACTCCTACAAATCTGAGTATGCTCATAGCTAAACCTTCAGCCAAAGATTTGCACATTTTCCCAGAGAAGTATTTCAAAACATGAAAATAAAAGAACTATTATAAAGACTGGCTCCACTTGCTTAGAATTGGAAGTTTAGTTAGAAACACAAAAGTAGGGAGATTCCATCTTTCTGTCTGAGCTGTTCCTAGACTTAGGCACCAGCGGGGTATAAAGAATTTGTCTCTATTTACTTCACACACTGTGAGATCCATTACCCCACCATTCAGTAACTTTCAAGGGGAAATCAATTCAATGCAATGTCTAGCTGCAATCTTCAAAGTTGCATAAGAAACATTCTGGTCAAAAATTATGATTTATAAATTGAGGGAAACATTAATGAACCGAGACAGAGACAATTTATGCTCTCTAGCCATTCAAATTGAAAAAAGACATTACATTAACAAGAAAACCTAACAATGCCATACCTAGCATTAGCAGAAAAAGGGCAACAAATCATCATGAACTAGGTCTCTACAGACAGGAGTAGCAACTGATCACTGAGAATGGGAGGCATTTGGTGCCATACAGGAAAAGCCATAGAAACCAACATTTATGAAGTGCTAGAGCACTTCAACTTCAAGAAATCTGAGTTTCCTCTATTGAAGAAGATAGTGTAAGAAGTGCAACGTTATCTGTCATTTAGTTTGCCATATATTCATATACATACACACACATATACACAATTAGAAGCAAATCAATAATAGAAGAGTAACTAATTACACCATAAAATGTTCAATAATACTTTGCAGCCATTGCACTAAAATAACGGTGGAGGGACTAAGAAGTACAGGAACATTTTTATGAAATGATTTAAAGTAAAATCAAGGCTGGGAGTGTGACTCAGTGTTAGAGCACTCATCTAGCCTGCGGGAGACCCTGAGTTCCATCCGCAGCACATGAGAAAAATAAAATAAAAATAAAAATCAAGCTTCAGAATCACATGCACAAGGCACTTATGACCATGAAACGTTCGTATGTGGCTTGATCAAACTGGAAGGGAAATGAAAGCAGTTATAGTAGTGAACAAAGATTCTGGGTGTTTTCTCTCTGTGCATACAATTTTTCTTATTAATTGCTTTTTCAACCAATTATCTGGTCGCAAAAGTATAAAGAGTGAATTACCAAATTTCATTGTGTGGCCCAAGTGTGATGTAAATCACTAAGTCATATTTATTTCCATTTGATAACACTTCTTTTGCCTTCTTTCCAAAGATTTCTTGTATCTATGTATATATAATATATAGTTTCATTATGATAGTTTATTCACCATCGATATATATTTCATTGGAACCTGGTAAAAGCCAGTAGTTATTGGCATTCATTTTAAAATCAATATATTTAAATTTTATTTTGAGGTAATTATGTGAAGTTGTAGAATCCGGTAGAGTTCTGGTACATGTTTCCTTCAGTTTCCTCCTAGGGTGACATCTTGGATCACTCTGGTTAAGTTTCACTACCAGGATATTGACATTGACACAGTCCATAGTCTGTTAAGATTTCACCAGTTGTATTTATGCTTTCAGATCTCAGTTTCTCATGGACTCATTTGTGTGTCTTATCTACACTTATGTTTTATATTTTGTATAAGCTGCATATGTGGATGTTTTTTAAACGACAGAATTTTCACTTGGGAATAAAATGAGTTTAAGCAAGTAGGTCTTCTGGTCCATTTAAGCAATTTAAACTCCACTATGAAGTCACTTCAAATGTGGTTGCAATTAGAGGGTGACTATAATATGAACATAGTTTTTAGCAGTGCAATATTATGTTGAAGAGATTTTTATGACTCTCTCCCCGACAGTATAGTGGCTACAGAGAGAAAGCCCCATTTTTTTCATTCAAGTAATTATAGTTGCTCTGAGCTCTGGGCATCTGCAATGGAAATGTATTTGCAAAAACAAGTGAGGCATCACAGTGGCTTGACATTTCAGTGATCTAGCTGTCAAGAAAAGTCAGATTTATTACATAATAAAAATCTCTTTGCTTAATATTGCAACAACAGAAGGGACCCACATGAAGTGTGCAAGTCCTTTGTTGGAAAATGTTCAGGCAACAGAGCTAGAGCAGGAACCCAAAGAGAGAACCCACAGAAGGCTGAGGAGACCCGAAATCTTGGGGCTCGAACCTGGGGTCCACAGTTGAAAGTGAGCCATTGGGCAGGCCAGGGCGGCAGCCTGTAGGTCCGCTGGTGTCTTGTCATACATGACAAGTAGCTCACACGCTTGAAGCTTCCTTCTGCCACATCCAAGTCCATTACTTACTCTACCACAAGGACCTGTGAAATTGCATTAAAGCTCAGACAATGATTTTATGCAATGAATTGATTTGCAAGTGTCTAAATGCCCAGAGTAGAATGTGCTTGGGTAGAAGAAAAAAATGATAACTACTCAACCTTTTATCACCCCAGTGTGGACAGTAACAAAGAGAACGGTAAGACAAAATATAGAAGGAACATAAATTAAAGGTGCTTAGGCATTAAAATGCTGTGAAATCGACCTTCCTTTAAGTTAAGAAAAGAAACTTTCTTTAAGAATGTATTCAAACCCAAGCCACTAGAAAAGACCTTTTAAAAACTGTAAGATCCAGGTCTCTCTGTGCCCATGTAAAACACTGCTGTTTATTATCTGCATCATCTATCATGAACTAAGCAGAGACCTACATTTTTGTTCATCTTTCCTTGAGAACCAATGATATTGTTTAGCTAGAATGTTCCTAGTGACAGTACTGTATCAGCATTTACACACACACAAACTCATGGTGATTCCACAGCACTGTTCTACCACATGGGCTTAGGATTTTGCTGACCGCTCCAGAGCTCAGTTCCGTATGTCACATCAGTCCTGTTGTGCTGTTTCAAGTGTCATTTTGAATATGTTTTCAGGAAAGCACTGGCCAGTCCTCCTGCGCCATGCTAACACATTCAGGCCCTCAGAATGCTACTTACTTTGGGTTATGTCTGAAGGGTAGTCCTGATTCCACTTGAATTTTTCCTTTCTCTTCAAAGGTATGCAATGAGGCTGAAGAACTTTGCAAGCCCCTTGGCTTCTGACGGGGACAAAAAGCTAGCAGTGTTATGGTGAGTCCCTGAATCCCATGGAGCCCCAAGGAAATAGCTGAAATACCACAGAATAATTTGAAAACTCTAGCTCAATTTAAGCTGCTTTCCTCAGATCACCATTCTCATTTTCTGTTGAACTGTTAAAAGCTAGCTAATGGATTTTTTCAGTCACTGACTAAATATTTACTCGCCTGATTTATACCCTTCTCAAAATGGGGGTTAATGCTTCTCTTTTCTTTCTTAAACATGTTCTTTATTTAATTACGTGGCTCCATCTAACCATAGGTGAGAATCTGCAGCATCTGAATTGGCATTTTCGTAGGTTTCCTTAGGCACTAGCATTAACGGTCTTTTCGTTATCACTGCAGCTACCGATGTTTATCACTTCTCTACTTGAGGATGTTTAAACTGAAGAAGGACCATGCTATGAAATACTCCAGATCACTGATGGAGTATTTTAAGGTAATCCTTATTTTGTATAATTTATAGGCACAGGGTGATAAAATCACTAATGAAACATGGCAGGCATATTACTAAATGTCAAATGACAAAGGCAAGATTATTGCTGTCAAAGGCTTAACCTCTCTCATCTCATCTGGCCAGGGCTCTCCCGCCCCTCCCTCAGGGCTCAGCAGAGAGCTCACATCCAGCGCACCTGCTGATTCCTGGCTGTGAATGTACAATAGTGCAGTCCCCTGACTATTTTCTGCCTTTGGTGCCCTCTCAGTTGTTATTAGGGGATCCTGTCCCCCGTCCACCTACAGGATGGACACAGTTTGTGTCTGTGGGGATGGCCAATCTCTTGCTAACCAAGACTTGAGCCCAGGATTTCTTCAGCAGGAAAAGAAGTCACTGTGGCTGCCCTGGCTCTGAGTGGACAACTACACCCCTAAAAGCCCGTTAGCCATGGGGTGTATTGGAATGCAGCCGTTGCAATTTAAGGCATTGATTACCTTGGTAACCAAAACAATGCAAACAAATAAAGCCATCATCTAGATGGGTGGCATTTTTTCATGTGTAAGCAAAAAGTTAAAAGATAGGCAGCCACAAAACGCAATGCCAGAATTTGGGAATGAGTTCAGAAAACACTTGCAAGCAATATCTTGGATTGGTGACTATGCCTTCAGACACTGCTTCTGGCCTCCAATGCTAGAAAAGATTGGGAGGTGGAGAGGTTTCATTCTCCTTTCTGTTGGCCAGCTCTAAAAAGAAAAGCCCTTTTGCTCTTCCATTTGTCACACGCATAAGACCTCTTGTCTAAATTACACCTAAACAGTTGTTTAAATTGAATCAAATCGTGACCTTAGGTTTGGGGCAAGGCCTGAAAATGCATTTCTAACAAGTTGTCACATACTGCTGCTGCTGGCATTGCAGTATTACTTTGACTGCTGTGGTATCTGTCTCTATGGCCTGCCTTTTGTGGCTTTCACAGATGCTAAGTAACCCATTCATCTGGAAGAGTGTTGAGCTTCTTTAAGGTTAAAGTAGCCTGGAGAATGCATGTTAGGTCTGGCTTTCTGCAGCTCCAGAGAAGCACAGCATTTTTACTGAATTCCTAAAGATGCCAGTCCTCTCACTAATTCCCCTTTTGTAAACAGGGCCAGGCTGGAGGCCAAGAGGCTGTGAAACAGCATCAACTGGGCTGTGTCTGCCGAGAGTAAGGCTAAGTGGGGCTCAGTGCCACAGATGTCCTGGCTATCTGTGCTTCTTGAGCTTCAGCCTGATCTCTATCCTATCATGCTGAAGCCAAATGTCACCTTTCCCTCTAGTCCCCAATGAGTAGCCATGGAGGTAGAGGAAACTGATTCTTTACCCCAGCCCATTTCCAGCAGAGGAACAAAAGAATGTTCACTCAGCCCTCCATGTTCCACTGCATTATAGCTCAGGATGGGTTGCATTGCTAAGTAAGTCGTCAGCCATGAAAATTTGCATGTAAACACAGCAAATCAAGATGATTCCTGAAAACAAACCAAAAAGCATTGCTTGGTTCTGGCACATTCTTGGAATATCACAAATTATAGCGCACTCTGTATCCCAGGGAAAAAGTTTGCAACTGGAGTTAAAGGTGAAAAGCTTACTTGTACTCTGAAGAGCTTGTTTTGCAGAATAAATTTCAGATGAGGATAATTAAACCACTTCTTGGAGAACCGAGTCTGATTTCACTGGGCCTTTTAGTATATAAGATCTTTCATCAAGTGACTTTCATGGTCCTGATTGGAGCCCACTAATTATCCTAACCAGCTATTTTCATCGAGTGTGTGGCATGGTGTGCTGACGTGCACATACATCGCAGTTCTGCATCCCGAAATGCTGCAATCAATATTAATGTACTCTAAATCACACTTCCATCTGTTTCTGAATTAATAAAACACAAAATAGATGTCCTTATTTCCCTCTCTTTCTCTCTCTTTTAGCAAAATGCCTCAAAAGTCGCTCAGATACCATCTCCATGGGTAGGCAATGGAAAGTAAGTATTTTAGAAACAGTTGCTTTTGCACGAAAACGACTGACTGAATAGACTCCAGATACTCTGCACTGACAACTCAGGAGTGAAGATCAATTTCATGACAATTAGACATTTATGTGCGCAAAGAATTCCAGCCAGGTATCAGTCGATGGCAAGACAGAAAAGTTTAAAACGATATGGCTCCAAATTCTTTCACTATTTGAACATTGAGCCAAATGATGGCCGTAGAAATATTTGCTAATGAGATGGCAAGCACTACGCCATTTCCAGGAGGCAGGGTCAAGTTAACTCCACTGCAGTGATTTGTCAATGATTCGCTCAGTAATGAAAGACCAATGAAATATTCACTGATATATGGTAAGTGCTGCTTAATAAAACTAAAGGCATAATAGAGCTGAAAATGTGAAGGCATTTAGTCAGCCAATTATCTGAGCCTTTGTGATGATTTTTATATTAATACTAAAATACCATGACCTAAAATATAAAAGCATCTACTCTAATGCCAATCCGAGGCTCAGTGAACTCTCCCAGGTCCACAGCTTTACTTAGAGGTTTTTCTGCACACCACTGGTGCAGGAGTCCAGAAAACACTGACTGGACCTGAGGCTTCCCATCCTTCACAGGGGAATCTAACTGGGCCCTTCCCCATCCTCTAGGTTTGTTTCTCTGTCTCTAAAATGAAAGGGCTGGTCCTCCTCTCTGCAAGAGGCGTTCCTGATGGGGGATGCTTTTGAATCCCCTTTCTGTCTGTGCTGTGAAGCAGCTGTGTACCTTTGCAAACTCACCTCAGCACCCATGTGTCCTCGAATTCCAAACCCTCCTTCCCTGCTTCAAGTGCACTTCCCACGAGTGGTGGAAACTAGACAACCGTGGACAATGAGCACTCAAAGCGCCTGCTGTACAAATGCAAGCTGCTTTTTCCAATTTCTCATCATTTCAGCATTCTTGCATCTCTGATCAAATGCTTTCTTCAAGAGTAATGTAGTCTCCACTGTCACTTTATAAATATCTACAAAGCACACTCCAAAAGCAGCAGGACAATGAATTCTACTTGGAGATCATAAAAACATTCAGAGCAAGGGAACAGATCCATTAAAAACTACACATTAACTCAATTACTGTATTGAAAGGAAGCACCGTTTAAGTTGTTGAATTAGGTCCTACTCTTACATTGACGAACAAAAGGGAACGAACACTTCTCTTTGGAAGTTCAGAAAATAAAAATAACCATTGAAAAGCCCCGAGAAAGCTATTTTCTCTGAGCACAGAATGAAGCTAGGACAAGGTCAGGTAAGCAGCTATTAAAGAATCATTGGGAATTTTTTTTAATTCTGAAATGAAAGATCTCAAACACATTCTAAACTTATGAAGTCACATTAAAGCATCCTGAAATGATTTTTAAGCAGCTTCTGTCTGAAGAAAGCACACTTTCTTTACTTCCTCTGGTAGGCTGCTGAGTTTTTGAATGAGGAAACTCCAAATAATCATCCAAGGGTTAGATCCCATTCATTCTTCAGACACTTCAGGTGTATCTGCTCCATATCAGGCCCTATGCACGGTACCAGGGACATGGAGATAGATGCATATGGTCCCTGCATGCCAGAAGAACAGAGTCCAGCTGATGAAGGTGACAAAATGCTGAGGAAGGCCATGAAGATGAGATTGGACCTTCCTGTGTGATGCTGTACACAGCAGAGAGGGCTGCATGCCTACAAGCCGGGTTATGCCCCCGTCAGTGAGGTTTCCCTGTAAACGAGGATGCTGAGCCAAGCCAAGGGCTCCTCACCACACTTTCCAGGGGCAGCATCCCCAGGCTGCAAACCCTCCTCTTCTGGCTGGCAAGGGGGAGGCCCATTCGCTGGAGGTGCTCACGCTGCCTTACTCCTGCAGGAGAGCCCCACAAGAAAGTACACAGAGAGGTGAGCTGCAGCTTGAGAATAGACTCTCAAGAGCTTGCCTCCATAGTTCTGGGATAGAAATACATAAACATAAAAGGACATGAAAAAATTGCATGTAGAGGGCAGGGATAAGCACACCTGTTCTGTAAAGGGCCAGATACTACATATTTTGAGTTTTATTGGCCCTGAGAGAAAACCAAGACTATTATACAGAACAGTTTTAAAAGCAAAAAAACAAATCTACACAGCATTTTTACTGATGAAACTCAAAAGTAAGTAACCAGTACAATTTTTGAAATGTAAGTCTACTAACAAGTAGAATGGAATTCTTTTTTTAAAAAAGATGACATTTTGCTCCACTGGGGTTCAAAGGTAGTGTTCCTCTCATCAGATCGATCGCAAACGTTCATCTTTTCAAACCATCCACAGTTCACATGCTTTACAGAAGTGGGAGGCAGGCCAGATTTGCAGATCCATGCTAGGGAGCTCTGCAAGCTGGTGTGGAGAGCTGAAAGGGTGGGCAGTAATCTCACGTCGGAAAGGTATGACACACAAAATGAAGGCAACCGAATTTTGAAGGAAGAGGCCACTTGAGGCCCCCTAGAAGAGTGGATTCAGTAGACAGCTGGGTGTCGATTCCGTGTTAAAGAAAGGAGAAGCAGGGACGCCCTCACTTGTTTGAAGCCTCGCCCAATCCAAAAGATTGCAAGAGTCTAGTAGTCATTGGAGGGGCCATCCAGGTCAGGCACATCCTTCTGCCAAGCTTGGAGAGGGCTCTGCTTATGTGAACATATATGACACTGCAAATATCCAATGTGTACACAGAGCTGAGGTGCAGGTGGGTGCACACCTGATGAAACAATTCGAGGTGTCATGATAGAATGGGAAGAGAAGGAGCTTTGGAGGAAAACATAGCTGCTGTCAAATTATGGCTCTTTGGAACAATTGTTGTGTGGCCCTTGGGAAGAAACTGAGCTTCCAAGAGACTGTGGCAGCAGAAACTTCCCTGTGGAATTTCCTGAGGCCTTAGAGATAATACTGATGAAGCCCTGGGAATGATGTGTGCTGCCAATAGATGGTCAACAAGTGGCGGCTTAGCTGCTGCCATAGTTATTGTTGACATTGTGACCTCTCTAGGTAGAAAACATAGGCACCCCTTCCCCCTGGACTCCTGCAGCCCTTGGTGTGTGCTCCCTTTTGGCACTCACTCTGCATTGCCAGAAAATCTCGAGCTTTGCTTCTCTGGCAAACGTTTCTCTTCTTACATAAGGAGCCAGGCATCTTTTCACTCACCAAGTATTTCTTGAGTGCCTACTATGCATAAGATGCCCCGCCCAGCTCTTTGCAAATACATCCGCCATCCTGGTGCTGTTCTCTTCCTACTCTTCAGAGTGCTCCATAGGCAGCAGATACTAAGTAACAAATAGGGGAAATCCATTCACGTATTCAGTTTTTGTTCATTGAGACTATGTTATGTGCCAGGCACTGTCATAGAGCTGGGATATAGTACAAGATAAAAGAGACAAGTCTCCCTACCCCTACTGAAATCACATTCTTTTGGGGGAGAAAGGCAGCTAGCTAAAATCAGGCAAACACTACATGATAGTAAATGTCATGGAGAAAATCCAAGCAAGGAAAGAGGGTGGAAAGGGCTGCTGAGGCTGCTGCGATGGAGGAGCAGCTGTTCAGTCTTGAACAGGCACAGCAGGGAAGGATCACAGGAAAGCTCACCATGCACATATCTGGGAGAAGCGCATCCCAAGTAGAAAGAAGTACGGGAGCATCAGGTGAGTTCAAGGACCAGCAAGGGGCTAGCTTGGCCTGGGGGAGAAGGACGTTTGCGGAAGAAGTACTGAGAACTGTGCGCTTGCCTGTGCATGTTCCCTGGCCTGGGCCTTGGGTGTGTGGGGAAACGGGAAGATCTGAGACTACACGGAAGGGAACAGCAGGGCTACACCAGCCTGGGGTTGCACCTCACACCACGGAGAGTGAGCTCTCCCTATGCCCTCTCTTTCCCACTGTCGCGATCCATAGGCACCGCGTCGCTCTTCCATTTTCTGATTGCACCATGTCATGCAGAGCTCACTCTGCTCATCAGAGTGGCAGAGGGCAGACCCTCGCTCGAGAACAGTGATAGCCCTAAACACACTCTTGCTCTTCCTGCCTATGTTGTTGAATATTTCAAAGAAAAAAGAAAAGACTGCAACGAAAAGAAAGCCGCTCAATAATACTTCAGTGTAATAACTGAAAAAAAGTTTTAATTGACATATAATCATGTACATTTATGAAGTTCAGTGTAGTAACTCCACATGTGGAGACAAGTTTAATGTTCAAATCAGGATAATCAACATTTCCAACTTCAGAAACGTGTATCATTGCTTTCTGCCGGGAACCTTTGACCTGCTCTCTTTACCTGTTTACCAAATGCACAGTAGCACTATGGTGCTGTAGGAGGCAGAAACTTGCTCCTCTTACCAGACTGGCCCTCACGCCTGTTACCCAGTCCCTCTCTGTCCGGCACTTCCTCACATGTAGTAACCAGATTCTACCTCCTGCTTTTATGGAATCAATGTTTTTTTTTCCATATATGAGCAGAAAAGGGCTTTTTAAAATGTATGAAGTAGAGAGGTGATTGTTTTTCTCATTTGATTTCTGTACAAAAGGGCTTTTTAAAATGTATGAAGTAGAGAGGTGATTGTTTTTCTCATTTGATTTCTGTACATGATTGGAAATTACTGAAGGAAGCTTGTGTTTTAATCTAAAAAAGTAAGGCCCAATGAGGGAAAGGGACATGCCAAGGAACAATTGGTGGCAGGCTAAGGCTAGAATCCAGGTCACTCTGGATTCTAGTGCCATAGCCTCTTTTTTTTTTTTTTCAATATTGGTGGCACCTGAGAGTATTGTCATTTTCAATAGAGATTAAAAATGTGAAAATATTCCTTTCTTGCCATAAAGTGATATTTAAGACTTAATGACCACTGCTGGCCAAAAAGAAAAGAAAATAGCATCCATAACCTACAACAATAAAGAAATTCAGCCTCCACTGCTTGATTTGTTGTTAGCAAGCCATTCTGTGCTGAGGTCCTTACCTTGGGCATCTCCCCATCCTGCTCCTGTCTTCAAAAACAATTTGTTTTCTATCAATAAGTCAGAAAACATCTCAGCAAGTATAAATATAGCACGAAACCCTCACATGTCCTTAAACCAGACAAGTGCAAAGATCCACTTCCCCCAGAGACCAGACTATGTGGAAGATGCAGTCTGTCAGCAGAAATGCTCCTAGGGGCTCCTGTGGCCACAGGCACAGTGGCTGTGAATCTCTAGGAGAGCATTCAGCTGGGATTGCTCCCGCTGCACTCAGAGCTCCTCAGTAGGACGCTGGCATTTGGGTATGTTTTGATTGCTGCCAGCCCAAATCGCATGCGTGCACTGCCCGTCGGGGTGTGGGGCCATTCCCAGAGCAGGTGTAGGCTCTGACAAACATGGCCATCCCGGAAATCCAGAGTTGCCAACTACGGCAGCTGGTAAGGACCGAGGGTAGGAGATGAGACAGGCCTCGCTACTGATGTACTGGGGGATGGATGAGGCTCTTGCAAACATGCAGACTCCAGGGGTCCCAAGCACGCCTGACTGGATTTCCCTCCTGCCTTCTTTCCTTTCTCCCCTCCTTCACCCATCCCTCTTTCCTTCTGTCCTTCCCCTTCCCCCTCTCTTCCTGTCTCCTCCTCTTTTCTCTTTCTCTCTTTATTTTTCTTTCAGGGGAGGGTCTTGCAGTGTTCTCCAGGCTCTCCTCAAACTCCAGGCCTCAAACTCCCATCCCAGGCCCTAGTGGAGCAGGGACTCCAGGCCTGGACCTCTGTGTCCAGCTTCTCATTTCTTACACTTCCTCAAAATGACCCCTGATAGAGTGATTCATTTGCCCAGAAAGTTTTTCAATGTGTGGCTGAGGGAAGACAGACAGGATGAGGGGCACATAGACCTTACTACCATGCCAGAGATGCCACCAATCATTACGGACTACCCCTGGGATGGTCTGCAACTGGCCACCTTAAGCCCTGGCCTGGAAGAAAAATGACCCCCTTGCTGAGTACAGCCAGAAGGTAACTCCCTATTACTAATGTTGAAGAATGTGATCAAATTCTGCACCCAAACAGTGGTACTACCCGAAGCAGGAGCTCTGAAGCTTTCTTCTTACAAACTGGCATGCAGGGGAACAGCCACCAATTAACCACCCATCTCTGCAGTATGTCTCAGAGAATCCTAAAACAATCAAATTTTTTTAGCTTTTCCCTACTCCTTGGGAAGACTTGCACTTGCCTATTGTGGTATCTGTATTTGTCATTGTGGTTTCTACAAAACACTTGGATAATAAACCAATATTGTACATCAAGTGCTTTTTAATTGCCAGTAGCCATTCTGACACCCAATAGAGAAACCATCATAGCTTTGAGTTGTTTCTTTCTCACAAACATCACAATACTTATCTCATATATATATATATATATATATATATATATATATATATATATATATTCAAAGTGACCACTGTATTTGTGGGTAGAATTAATGTCAAAGATTCACCCAGTACTCTCTGTATTTGAAACCAAAAGCAGCAGCGTGCACAGAGCCCTCAGTAGTTGGCAAGGACAGTTGAGGACTTCTGTGTCTCAGGTTAGAAATGGCCTAGCCTTGGAGTCCAGGGTAGGTTATTCAGCTGAGGCAGAGTGGACAGGGGGATGGTAATAAGCTCTCGCTACACCAGAGTCTCTGGAGAAGGCCATTGTGCTGACAAAGATGGCACAATGTGCTCTGAGAAGAGCCACAAGGAGCGCATGCAAACTGCCCTCCAGTAGGGCTTCAAATCTGTTCACCATGCCCAACTTTGTTCTAGTAAATGGTACCCTAAGTGATCGCAGTGTATCCAGGGAGGCCTAGAAGCCCATTATCTCTCTTCCCTACCAGACTAACAAGACATGTCTCTTTCCCTTCCCCAGAAACACTCCTTCCCCGGTGTCTCTCAACAATGTCTCTCCCATCAATGCCGTGGGGAACTGTAACAACGGCCCAGTCACCATCCCCCAGCGCATCCACCACATGGCCGCCAGCCATGTCAACATCACTAGCAATGTGCTACGGGGCTACGAGCACTGGGACATGGCTGACAAGCTGACAAGGGAGAACAAAGGTATGCTCCTCTGCCCCACCCATGTGCCACAGACCGTCAGACTCACCTGTGCTTTGAGGGACTTGGGGTTTACTTGGTGGCCTTTTGTCTCTCAGCTTCTCTGATTTCCAAGGCTTAGATGAGAGGGGGTGAGCTTTGGGCTGGTATAGAGACTTATTTTGCAGAAAGAGTGAATGAAGCCTGGGATTGGTTCTCCTTTAATGCTTAAATGAATCTGAGCCGTGGTGTATTGGCAAATAAATATTTCAGGTATTACTTAGTGACAAGGATCAGCAGAGAAACAGAGGCAAAGGGATAAAGAACGATTTGCAAATTAATTAAGATCCAGTTGGCTTCAGTTAACTGTATTTTTTTGAGAGCTAAGATTGAACTAAAGCTGTCGACCTTCATTATAATCATCAACCCCAGCTGAATGCTTGATAATATAGTTTGTATTTGGAAGCAAAGACCAAACTCAGCTAGTATTTTGCACACATCCACAGCTAGAATGAAGGATCAGGGCACTATTTATGGGAATACATGAGGTTGGCTGCAAAACAAATGGGAAGAGGACCCTGGTTCCCTAGAGCATGGCTCAATGATCACTGGGGACTCATTCTGCTGTGACCTTACCTGTCATTTATACTCACAGTAAAGTTTCACCACCCTAATGAAGTAACAATAAAAGCATGCTTTTACTTGGCCATTCATTTGATTTAGCTAATTCCGGCCCAGTAGTCATAAATGGTCCCACTGTACTCTTAAGTGGGGACAGTGATGGGCCTTTGGGAATCATATTATAAGAGGATGACAAACAGTATAGAGTAGTAGAAATCAGCCAGTCAGGATCGAAGTGGAATTGGGTGGCCTTGGGTGCTACTAGGTCTGAGAAGTTACACAGATTTCCAAGGATCAGGTCAAGGACACTGGCCACATATGTGAGGTGTAAGTGTTTATGGGATGGACTAAGAAGGAATTACTGGATTGGTTCTTCCAAGTCCGGCCCCAGTTCTCCCAGAACCCTCATATGCCAGACAGTTCTCCTTCCCTGTCTACTCCGGCTTTGGGCTTTCAGATTGTTTCTCTTTCCTATTTAAAATTTCCAGGCCAGTCCCTAGATTGGTTCTTGCCAGAGCATGATCACAGAGTAAGACATAGGCGTCCGAACCCCTTCTTCCTGGTTACCCATTACGACTGTATTGTTGAGCATGTGTGCGAACAGTCCCACTAGAGTAAGAAGAATGCAGATTTTACAGCCTGGAAATTTATAGCTTGGGTCATGTAGTACCTGGAAAACCTTTGCTAGTTACATAAATCTGTAAACTGCTTCCTAGTCTCCGTCTCTTTAATGGATATAATAGTGATGGCAATGAAGCGCCCCAGAAGGGTGATAGAAATTAATGAAATAATGTAAGTAAAGCATGTAGTGTCAAGCATAGGTGTAAAGTGGGAGTCCTAAAAATATATACTCTCTTTGTTATTCCATAGTATTGTATATCTAACTCAAAGATTCTTTTTATATCAAAGCACATTGCACAACTGAAGATTTAACCTTCAACCCAGCTATGAATTTACACCAACTTCTGAGAATATGTACCTATATTGGTTACATCTTTTTGTTTTCCAAATTTTATACCACATATGCTGAACTATTTGCTTCTTATTGTCTCATTTGTCCCTGTTTTAAATATAAAGAAATTAAGGCTGATACTAAAAAAGACACTCATGCTATAACTCTATATGTTTGTTAGATGCAGGAATTGAATTTAAAAATATCTGAATCCAGAGTTTGACCTCTTAATAGGCTACAGAGCCCTTCTAGAAAGCAAGATTAATAAAAGGTCCTCCAAGATCCTCAGTGTGACCCTCAGCTACTAACTGTGCAGTATGTAATTCTTACTTTGTCTGCATTTCTACACTTGTCTGGAAACCCAGAAGAAACTGGTCCAGACAACCAGGCCATCTCAGGGGTCTAGAATTTTAAGCAAAGACAGAAGCACCTTAAGATTTAGCTGGCTTGTCTCTCTTCACATTCTCTCTGTTTTGTATTAGTAACAGGAGGGCAGTTCAGTATTTACAAATTTCCTTTATAATTCCATCCCTTTTCAAGATCTGCTAAAGCAATTATTTCTAAATTAACTGCAGAACTTTCCAGGATCAACTTGGTGGCAGTGCTGATGTTAGGGTGAAATGGTACTAATTTTGTCATTAGCACAACCTGCCAAGGTGTTCTAAATTCTCTACCTACTAATGCATCAAAGCAACCCTGTTGTTCTATTAGAAAAGAGAGACTGTGTCCTGCCAGTGCTATCATTTGACTTTTTACTAGACTTGGGAGAAGACCTAGTTTGGAATTTTTGGCTCATAACCTTGAATTATGCACATGTCATTTCTGATCTGCTAAACAGTAGAGATACTTCTCACACTGGATCATCCAGACTGCAATGAAGGAATGGCAAGCTTCTCTTTTGAATCTCATCCATAGGCCATTGTAGATGGCCATGTACCTGCACTTCTCCCAGCCAAATGTGCAATGGAGATGGGGGAGATTGGCTCTCTGAGAAAGTTCACCCCGACCTGCCCACCTGTGAAGCTGCAGCCAGTTTTTGCACTGTGGTCTGGTGCTGATTCATGCCAGTAGGGCTGATGCCGCCCTCTGGCCTTTGGTCTGGAAGCACCATTCCCTACCAGCCTCAGCTGTGAGTACTGTGGCAGTCATTAAAATAGTGACCTGAGTATGTGGTTAAAAATGCCACAGAGAGCTTTGTGCAAAATACCCAGGGGATGCCCTGGATCCTATGCGGCTCACATTCATTCTCCAATAACTAGGCCCTTTAATATTTTCCTTAGTATCATATTGCCTATGAAAATATTTTAGATGCCAGAAATAATTTACTTCTTTATCAGCAGAAATTACTTTTATTATAGAGTGTAGGTTGAGCAGTATCACATAATCGAATGAAGTTGACACCTAGAGAAGGAGTCCATTGTTATATACCGTATGAAGAATAAATGCATCATTTAGTGAAAAACCATCTGCTGGGCCATCATGCACTTGCAACTCATGCATGGAAATTGCTTTCCAAGAAGGAAGAGGAGCATCCTGGCCACTCCAGAGCAAGCTCTGGTCCCAACCTCGCCCAGACCCAGATTCCTCACCCTCACTGGCCTGGGCTTACAGTCAAAGCTCCCTCTTAGCAAAGAGGAAGCCAGGAAGCCCTCTTCTAAGCAAGCATCAGTCCAACAAATTCTCAAGTGAAGAGGGTGTACCTAGCTAGCTTTTAGATGTTACATGGTGCTCCCCACAGATCCCTTGCCGCCTGAGGCAGACATTTGCAGAGCCCAGTTGTACAGATTAGTGACTGAGACTGCCTCCTTCCTCAGATCAGCCAGGGGGACTCAGCTGGGCCTTCTGACCATTCATGTCCTGAGCGGCTCAATGTTATGTGACAGATCCTCATGGATCATACCCCTGCCCAAATGTAATCAGCAAGAAGATGTGCTAAATCAGAGTTCTCCAAGTTATATTTATTTAGCCTCGGATGCAGATGGCTATAATTACTGCCCAGATTAGCTAGTTTTGACTACACCTTACCAAGAAAAATCCATAAACTCAGTTCACCTGAGACAAAAAATATTCTCACTTCAAGAACTCAGGGAGTCAGAACATGATATTAGATAGATCGAGATAGATATAAGGACCCCTTTTGTGCATTAAGGATCCTTCTCTTAATAGAAATTTGTAATATATAAATGCCCACACTTATTAGATAGTATAATATATGTAGACACATTTATTCAACTTATGTGTGAATTTCAAATATGCAGCTGTATCTCATATAGACATTTACATAAACATATGGACAAATAGATTATATGTTTATATTATATATGCAATGAAAACGCATGATATATATTTGTATGTATGCATAGTCAATGAACAACATGCTTCCAAAGGATGGTAGTGTACCTTTAGAGTACATAATCTGAGAAAATATATAGTGAGCTGGAGTTATAGTTTAGTGGTAGAGGGCTTGCCTAGCATGTGTAAGGCCCTGGGTATCATGCCTAGTACTACCAAAGAGGAAAAGAAAATATACAGTGATGCTTTAAAACTTGGAATGAATTCAGTAGTGAATTTAAGTGAAGTTTGTGTTTTTATTAGTCACAGCAACAGCATCATTCAGGCTGTAGAATATTTGCAGTTTAGTAAACATTACAATGGTAGTACTTGATATTCAAATGGAATTTTGTACTCTAGGAGGCACTCTATAAATTTGGGTTGGATGGATGGGGAGAGGGAGGGGAGGATAGGTAGGTCGATGGATGGATGGATGGATGGATGGACAGATAGGCAAATGAATGAATTTCCAAAGGCTCATATGATTGTGGTGTCACATGAAAGCAGCTTCTTCATGATATTGTTTAAAAGCCTAACCAAATACTCTTCTGATTTTCAGAATTCTTTGGCGACCTGGACACATTAATGGGGCCTCTGACCCAGCACAGCAGCATGACCAATCTTGTCCGCTATGTTCGCCAGGGACTCTGTTGGCTCCGCATCGATGCCCATTTGTTGTAGTGGGTGCTCTATCATCTCTAGCATCACCACCCATCACTCTACCTCTACCAGCGCACTGACGGTCACTGGTGGAACTCCACTCATTTGGGAAAGTTCTCTTTGGTTATGTTTGTTTTTATGCTTCTTTTGATATCTGTGAAAAACTGAAGTTATTGTAAGCGGACACTACAACTTGAGAGCAGTGTATGTTTTATTATGTTTCAGTATTTGATATTCATTTCTCAGATCTCAGGATCTTTTTGTGTTTTATGGAATGATAGTCCCCACAATATTATTTTAAGTCCACACTATCCAAAACAAAGAACGAGAAGCACATGTGATGATAACAGGTTCCTGAGAAATGAAACAAGTGGTCTTACATACAGATGAGAACTTAGATACAAGGGACCTGCAAAGATTTTCAGCAATAGCCATCCCCAAGCTATACTCTTATGTCCAGAAAAGAATGTATTTCAGAATCCACTGTTAAACTTTTGTGGTTCCCAACAGATTCAATCTTCAAGTGAGAACTCTCATTGTCAAAATCCACTGGTTAGATGTTGTAATAACATCATAAAATCAAGAATATCAAGAAAAAAAGGGGCATGGCAGTACTGCTCTTGAAATGATGCTATGCCATACAACCAGAGGACATTTTTTTCTTAGCATATTGTTCCTGATTTACTTTTTTTTAGATTTTAGTGATGAGAAGGAGGGATGACATTTATTTTGACAACTTCAAGGCATCAGCTGGATTAAAATTGTCTGAACTCCATGATTTGAAGCTTAAATCCTCACTGAGATCTTCCGTGTGCATATCTCTTTTTTTGAGGAGAAATTTGGTGGTTGCATGCCTTAGTAGCCAAAATGCTACATGCCAGTCTTTTCTGGGAGATAAGAGAGGTCTGGAAAACGTCCAACAAGGAATTCATATATCTGCCTCCTTTGTAGTCAGGGGCACATCCGTAACTAGCTGGATTTTTAAATTGTATTTTGCTCAAATCTATGGAAACAAAAGTCGAATTATCACTACCTGAAAATAATAATATACAATTTTCTTCCTAGTGGTTTTAAAATCTGGACTTCCCCAATTATGGTCTACACTTTCTATTTTCAGAGTTTCTTTTTTTTCTTCCTTCATTTTGCTTTTATCTTTTTTCCTTTTCTTTCTTTTTCTGTGAGTCATTAACTTTTGATTGAAATATCATCACTGATTTTTTTAAAGTTATATTACTATGAACATTTGCATACCAAATCCAAAAAGAACTCCTAACTCTGTAGGTAGTAGCATCCCTAAAAAGTGTGATTCTTGGGGTAGTGCTTCACCCTGGGGCACTTTGAAAGAGTCCGGGTGATTGGGAATAGCTCACCTAATTTGGAGACATTTTCCTATCAGTTATGACTGTCTCCCCTCCTTATGATTCCCTACATTCATCTTCTGTCCCTAAGCATCACAATGTAAATATCATCCTCGGTGTTCAGCTCACCAGAAGAATCCCCCACCTGTAGTAAACACTATCCATACATTAGTTACTTGAATTACCTGCTGGCACATAATTCCATGTAGCCTTTCATCTGCTGAGTTATTGAATTCTGTTCACTGAGATATGACCAGATAAATAATAGATATGCACATAAAAAATGCAAACTTGTATGATTTTTAAAGCAAGTCATGCAGGTCTGTGATAAAACCAGCAGGTGATAACTCTGAACTCTCATTGTCAAGGTTAGATATATTCCAGTTGCAGAAGAGCCAGACTTGAGCTCTGCTCTGATCATCTCTGAGTTTAAGACCCTTTGTTGTATAATAAGGTTATGGAAGTTGTACTCCAGTGGCCCAGGCCATGCTGTTAATCTGGCTGCTGGGAGCTTCCCAGCAGCTGAACCCCTGCACTTTTTAATGCTCCCAATGAGGTTGAGCTTCACGTTTGCAGTCTCAATGACACTTGAACACACGCACTCACACATGCACACATACAAATGAAACCTGAAAGAATCTTTTCTGAGCCTCTTAAATGAGGAAGATAATAATATGAAAGACTCTGAACACCCAAGGAGGGTGTCACATATAAAAACCAAGCTGATGACTTTGCAGTGACTCAAGTTCTCTGTTTTCCGTAGACTACCAGGTAGAGTGCCTGGCTATTACTTTATCATGAAGCTCACTGGCTTGACTCGTAAGCTAAATCTAGATCATGATCCTGTATCATCATGGATTTAGGACTAGATTCTTCTTGAAATTCAAAATCTCTGGAAACTAGACATTACAATGGTAGGGGAAGTTTCCCAGGGAACTGAGCATAATGCCTCACAGATGAAAGACTTGTAGCTCTAGTTTCAGAAACTTGTTATATCTACTTACACACAACAGGCAGGCAAGAGGATTCTCTGTCATCTCTGGTGGCTGAGTGAAAAGTGTGTGCCAAGTCAGCAACGCGATTATCAAATCTGACAGTCGAGCTCTGGATCACCACCTGATTATTTAGTAGGACCATTTTTAAAGCAGCTTAGAAACCAATCAAACATGGAGAATTAATTACTTTGCTATTCCTGGAGATGAGACATCTCGGTTTCATGATGAAGGACTGTTGCTATTTTCCAGGTACTCTATTCATCACATTGTAAATGGTGATGTGTGTTGTAGGTGTGCAGCTATGTGAGGGGTGAGGGATTAGGATACTTTGTCAAATGATTATTTTCAGCATACCTGTTTGTGGGAGGGACATGAGACATATGGATAACAGTGAGATACTGTGCCTCTAGACCTTGATGGAGGCTTGGTGAAACACATCTCTGTAAGCATGTGGAGGTAGGATAATGGGCAGAGTAATGGGCACCTATCTCTACCCAAGCAAGGATAAACAATCTCAGCCCTGCCACATAACCAGGTAGGGCCACCACTATGCCTTCATTTGTCACCCAAGCTCCAACCACAGAAAGTCTGACAAGTTTGTGTTATGATGTTGGCTTGGCGTTATATTTTTAATTAGCTTTGGATTTTTTAGTGGTTTTGTCATATTACTGTCTGAGTTTGGTAGGTAGGATTAATTTGAAAAGACTTTAGTAGTGTGGTTCTTGGGGTAGAATTTAGCTGTAAGCATGTTGTTAGCCAGCCTATAGACTGTTAATTACTTAATAATCTCACTGGGAAAGTACTAGTAGTTTTATATTTGGGTGACATAATTGGAAAAGCAGATTAGCTGTTGTTACTTTTAAAAGACTTGCGGTTGGGATGCGTTGTTTTCCCACATGAGATAAAAAGATCCAAATATTTGCTCATTAATCAAGTTGCAAAATTAGAAACCCGTGGCTAAAATGCGTTTTGCTGAACTTCCAAACGTATGACTTCTCATTTGGACAGCACACCGTTGACTGCATTGGATTTTTCTGCACCAGAAGGGTATTTGTTCTATGGTAGCTTTCCTGAAGGTGTCTAAATTGCATTTTCTTTTACTCAAATTTGCATCCCAGAGGTTGATGTTGGAGTTTGAAGTTGGAAAGCATTTTTGAAGGCAGACTCGATCGAGTTGTGAGGGTGAAGCCCTCACGTATTTCTGAACAGACGTGAAATTCACCTGCATGAGTTGGTGGATGGGAGAACCAAACTTGATCACTGGGTAGGACTACTCAGTAAAGCAATGAACTAGTTCCTTAGAGAGGCATCACTATCCCCACTGAGAAAACTGTGTGGCAAGACGAGATAGCTACACGATATCACCCAGAGGGCCGATTCAGCGGCCCACTGTTCAATTCTGTGGGGAAAAAGTATTGAGCCAGTTGTCAGTGTTCTGTTACACAACTGACAAACTGAATTCTTTGTCGTTGTTGTTACTGTTGTTGTTGTTGTTGTTGTTGTTGTTGTTTCTCATTTCTACTTGCACAGCCTTATTCTCATAATTAAACTCTGATTCATTTTCTCTTTGGTGTTTGCAAACTCCAACAGCAGAAATGGCATCTGTGTATTGGTAATCAGCATTTACCCTGGCAGGAGACTAGTCAGATAGGCTCATCTCAGACATTAGTCCTATCATGTGATATTTCCAGCAGAAGAAAACGTAATAATTCCCTTTCCATTCTCCTCCTCACAAATCTAGAAGCCCTCTTTACCAAGAGCATCACATTTTTCTCTGTAATCTATCGCCTAAAAGAAAATTGTTGTGGGGAGGGTGGAGGGGCGTGTGGGTGGAGGGTGGAGGGTGGGGAAGCCCCCGGAGGCCACACTGCAGTTCATTCCCCTTCCAGCTTCTGCCATGGGGTGTTCAAGAATCATTCATAGTGCTCACACTGGGTTAGGGGACACGAACTGCTATTCAGACCCATGACCAATCATCGTTTGGAGATTGGAGCTTTGCTGTTTCATTAACTGTGCAGTGTAGACTAATGGTGTTTAATAAAAATCATTCAAAATTTCAAACTCTCTTGCCAGTGACCTCAATTTTGTTGGTTCTTTGCTTCGTATCAGACTTTGAGGAGGGAAGGGGGAGCAGAGGAAGCCTGCTAGCAGGCCCCAGGCAGGATCTGCAGCAGATGCAGCACAGCTGTGCGAACCCTCCGAAGAATGCCCCTGGGTGCTTTCAGCTGGGAATACCTTGTTCCCGCCGAGAATTCATGTTCTGCAGTCGCCACAGCAGGAAGCCAGCTGCCCTATCCATTGCTGTACCTACTCGGTTTTGTCCTGCACTACTTGTGTGGCCAGAAAACAAGAGAAGTGTCTCTGAGAGGAGAGCCTGCGGTAGTGACAGTGACCACGTATAGCTAAATGCATCCTAGACGTTTCCCCCTGCTTTGATCCTGCAGGGCCTGTGACACTGAAGAAGGAGCCCCTGGGCAGGAAACCAAACTGGAGAGATCCCAGGAAACTGAGTGGATGCCACCCTGTGCAGACTTCTGGTCCGTTTAGCATATAGCCAATGCTGTGCTGGTGAAATATTTAGTAACCAGCTGTCTGCGAACACAAAGACCTGCTTTGTAGCTTTTGCCCATTTCCATGGTGTGAATACTCTGATCACGGGTGATTTCTGGCTACCAATTATGACATCACCGAACAGCCCATTGGTAGCCCCAACACACCACTGGATGCAGCTAGTCAAAGAGGGTCCATGTTTCACAAATCTGTTCATGTGGACACACCCACCTCCTACAGTTGAACGACTAAAACTATCAAAGTGTTTTCAAATATCAATCAATAAATCTTCTATGCCTGTAAGTAGTTTATGGTGAGAGTCTAGTGGTACGTGCTGTTTTGGAAGCCTGGGTTTTAAGTAGCCCAGGTCCGAAAGGAATAAAGCCTTCTGAACCTGATGGGATAGAGATGGTCCAGTGGTAAGGGCTTCATTCCCACATCATATAGGTAAAACGGAAGTGAGATAGCACTGAGAAAATCCTCATGGTTGTGTTTTTAAACAATAGAAGAGTGGTTATATTATTATGGTTATTAACAATATTTTTAAAAGTTCCATGTGAGATTTCTAACTTCTAAGTGTAATTTGGATAGTTGTAAAGCCTTTGAAAAGAATGGCAGAAACCAGAATGTGCTGTATTTTATCTCATAATACAGAAATCCAGTAATTCCCCAATCTCCACATCGTTCTTCATAGGTTTTTCATTTGGAGGGGGGATTCACATATTTTCTTACCATTTGTTTCTCATTAAAAGTATCTGATTACTGTCTTAGTTCTGAATTCCAACCACAATTTCTCCTGTATCAGTTACATAACTAATATTCAGAAATGATCATCCCAACTAAAACAATTCTTTTTCACACAAAGTGAAAGAAACTAACGTCACTAACAAGGAGGCATATGCTACGGTATATTTTTCTGAGAATGAATTTTTCGTTATACACACATACACATTTTTATTAAACCTCATCATAAATGAGCTTGAGAGTAGACTAGAAGCCTCAAAGAATCTCTTCTCCTGGGCCTGTGCATCTTCTGAATTTAGTAAGAGGTTCGTGTCTGGAAGAGTTGAAGAACCTGCCCTGTAATCCTGCTTTTCCTTTAAGCATCTTTATAGTGCTGTGCCCACTTGAAATGTTAGCCCTGGAGGAGACACCTGTCTTGCTCCTCCATTCTGGTCTTGCTGTCTTTTGCCTCTGTGGCTCTTTCGTGTGGATTGCACAATGGCTGCGTTTGGGGGTCTGTCCTTTCGTGGTGTTCCTGTGACATTTTTCCCTCCTGGAGAATGGCAACATCTGGGTCTGGCTTAAATGACATTACATTACACTTACACGGGGGCTCTGTGTCCCCTCATACCTCCTGGGAGCTGACCAATTTTCTTGGCGACATGGAACTAGAATGTGCCTAACATCATCTGGCACATTCCCTACTGCAAAACCATCCTTGGTAAGCAATCATATCCCCCCACAAATACTGCAAATGAGAATGACTCTGTCTTGAGACAATCTGTCAAACAGTTTTCTTCCTGGATGATTCTACTCTCCTGATCTTTTAGAAAAAGAAGTGTCTGAGAGGAAATCCTTTGCATTTATACAATTCTAAAAATTGATGTTTTTATTCCTATTGTCATCAGAGAAGTGCTTCTGAAGACTGCTTGATGTAGTGTTGTCTTCAGTAAAATCAATATGGGAAAAGGGAGCCGTCTAGAGATGTCATGCTGGGAAATGTTCCTTGGGATCAGAAGATACCTAAAATGCTCCCCCTTTTGGATACCTAAAATGCTCTTCTTTCGATGTGTGTTTTTAGGGTCCTCCAAAGCAGATGACTTTTCTGTTCTTGTGCTGGTGACTGTGGCTGTGGTTGTCCTCTCTGTCGCCTCTCTCTTTCTCTCTGTCTCTCTCTCCTGCTGGTGTTTTCTCTCTCTAAAACAGTTTAATTAAATGTGAGCTTCTGAATTGTACTCGTTTGTGCTTTTAAAACCTAAATGAATAAAAATAGGTGTGTCCTGATTTGACACATGCCACCTGGAAAGGCATGCTGTATTACAAAACCATAATATAGTAACTGCATCATTACATGGCAGTAAATCTAGTAGTCTGTTGAATTCATTTGTCCAATTGTACCACTTTGTGAAGCAGTGTTTTGAACTTTGCTGTATCATTTTAGAGCAAGTGAAGTGGTGGCAGGCAAAAGGAGAAAGTGCTTGTATCAGGACATTTCAGTGAACTTTAGTTGGAAACCTTCAGATGTTGTTGTAGCCATTGTAAATACGAGCAAGAAATCTTTGTTCAAGAAATTTCCCAGAGCATTTCAGCTGACACTTTTCAGTTCGTCATTCTTTTCTTCTTTTCTCTTTTTTTCCTTTCTTTTCCTTGGAAGGGGTGGATTTTATCATTTGCCTGAAGAAATATTTTGAACACCTTGGTGTATTCTGTTTATCTCACTCCCTTCCTCCCCCCCCCCGCTTCCATCTCACCTTTCTCCCCCACCCTCCCTGTTTAAACTGCTGAAATCTGGAGTCATTGGTAAATCTGCATTAGATCAGGCTCCAGGCCAGCTGTATAGTTAACCCTACATTGATGGGTTCCCAAAGGAAAACACTCCACCAAGAGACAAATGGGCAGGGACAGTTTTTGTAGAGGGATGCTTGTCTAATAGCTTGTGAGACTAATGCAGTTTAACAAATGATTCCACCTATTTCTCAGTAAGTAACTTGATTGAGACTTGCAAAATACCCCCTGAGAGTTGTTGGGTATATCTTCTGCCTGGTCTACAATGTATGTGTTTGCTTTTTTACCTAAGAGGCACATCATGTCTTGTGTGCTTATTTAAGTATTTCTTAACATTCCCATTAACCTGTATATAAGAACCAGAAAGATAGTCTCAACATGTTGTAAATGAAGATGTGACTCTATAACCTTTCTTTTGTTCTTGGGGAAAAGAAGACATTCTCATGCGTATTTTAAACAGAAACTGTATATTTAAGTGTCATGGAAAATATTTATTGAGTAACCAGGATACAAATGGGAATTTAATTGTCAACATATGCTGTGTGTGTGTGTGTGTGTGTGTGTGTGTGTGTGTGTGTGTGCTCACCAACAACATGTTGCTGAACCATTGTGGCAAGTAGAGCACTGTCTGTGGTGAGCATGTACACACGTGTGTACTAGTGCCATATGTCTGCTTGCTGTCTTTCATGGGATTTTAGCTTTCCCTTACTGAGAAACATTGTTTTACAGTCCCAGGAGGCCATCGTTACATTGCTGTATGAAGGCAGTGACCAGGAAGGAAACCATCTTTCTTCTTGGAAGTTTACATCATAATATTATGGCTCAGACAGATAGATTCCATTGGCTATTGTGAGGAGCCATTGCGAGGAGTCTGGTCAAATCCAACTGAGCTTACAAGAGGAACCTGTAGGTCGAGAGGCAGGGAAGGAAAAATGAAGGCCATTTCAGCTCAGCAGCATGAGCTGAGCTGGGCCCTCACAGTTGGAATAGGCTTGCGCCAAGATGCCAGTCACTGCCTGTGGCCATGTCTGGCCAGGACTCCCTGCACATGAGCAGAGAGGCAGAAGCATCAGGGACAGCCAGCGCTGGCTCCTGAGAAGAAAACTCCTGAGACCCTACCCCCCACCCTAGGAAGCCTCTTCCATACTGGTGGTACCCCAGGTGGCCATCAAAACCCATTGATCACTCAGAAAGTGCCCCCTTGGCTTTAACACAACCCAGCGAGTCTTTTGAACCACTTCTTAGGTGCAGATTTCCGATACTCATCTTCACTGTAGCTCCACCAGCTGTCACTGCTCTTACCACGCATGCTCCTCTAGTCAAAATTCCAGTCAGTTCTGATGTTCTGTATAGGCCCTGCTAACTGTTCTAACATCAGTCAATTAATGAAATGGTATCTGGTTTGTAAAAACTGGTTTCATGTGCTTTATATGTATGAAACTATCTGCCTGTATGGCTTTGCATTTCAAATGTGTGGCGCACAAGCGTTTTGTTGGTGCTTTGTTCTCAGTACAGTAACGCTGTGTACAAACATTTTAATGTGGTTTTATTGTTTTCCAACAAGATGTCTCTGTAAAACTGATATTGGCTGAGCTGGTGTGTTGGTTTCTCTCATAGAGGCATTAACTATACTGCCAATGCATTGAATTATTTAAAAATGCAAAATAAAATTTTTATGAAAACCTCATTTTAGACATGTAGATTATTCTACCTAAAGACTTTCTCAGCAATAAGTACCTTGTTACCACCTCTTTCATATTATAATCCATAGTCAGTACCCCTCCCTTTCAACAGCTGTGAAACTGAAGGCAATAAAGAAAATAACTCTCATGAAGCCAATTCATTTTATAAGGAGACAGACCCTTGGACCATCATTCAAACCCTTTAAGAGAAAACTGTAAAATATTTGAGTATCTGGATTACTAGTACACAGAACAAAAAACAAAGCTTGGAGAGTATAAGGTCAAGCTGTCGTCCCTGAGAGTAGAGACAGAGGGAATGAT